AATAGAAATAGATTTTCTAAAATATTTTTATTTTACAATGAATATAGAAATGAATGAATATATGAATATAAAAATATGAATATAAAAATGAACACAATGAGATCCGCGAATTTCATTTTAATGCTTAGGAACTCCATCTAGGAACTCGAAACGAATCGAAATTTCCTGACGGGCACTTAAAGCTACCGCTCGTTCCTCGGATTTGTCTAATTGATAATATTTATTGTTCTCTTATTTAGATTTATTTATTTATTTATGTTTTTGGGAAATATTTTTGTCGTAATAAAAGCTAAAAATAATCTAAATTCGTGCAAAACATATTTCCTAAACGAGTTTTGGAGTATCAAATTAAATATTTATTAGGACACTCTTCCTTCGTTTTTCCGGCAAAATTTATTTATTTATTTTTTTTATTTGTTAATTACTTTAATTGCTATCGTTTCGTCGAACCATAAGTTCTTATTAAGTTTATTGGTTGTCCGAGAAATTTATGCGAATGACCAAATTTTGCCCGTTCCATAAGCTTTGCCGAAGGAGTTGCGTTGAAATAAATTAAAAATAGGGCATTCAGTTGTTCGCTCTTTTAGCGATAAGCAATAGGCAATTTTTCCAAACATCACAGATGTTGGCTTAATTTAATTTTGCGCAGCGTAGGATGAAGAAGAAATGTTATAATTTCCAATGTATATAATTATTCTCATTTAGATATTCGGAAGAACGATGTGGAAAAAAATTGGCTTTTAGCGATAAGCAATAAGCAATTTTTTTTTTTTTTTGGAGGGGGAGGGGGTGCAGGAAATTTTATTACAAATATTTATTTTTCGTTTTTCTAGTAGCACTCACCATTTCTTGTTCGCGTGGTTCCAACTGGGTATTAGGACGGGATTCCTCCACCAAAGACGATTCCTAGCGCTACTCGGATTTCACACTCGACTCATTCATCTTTAGAAATTTTCTTTATAAATTTTCTTTTTCCTATTTCATTCGTCGGAATTTTATCAATCTCATATAAATATTGCATTGTAACATGAAAGGCAAGCAATTTCACGGTCAATTTACACAGCCAATATAGATAAACGTATTAAAATTATTTTTCAATTTTTATACAAGTTCATTTCCTTTCGCCGTTTACCGCAGTAACAATTTCCGGCTTGGCCGACTGTTAGGACTGTTGACTGTTAGGATGAGGCTCTCCCGAATCCCGACTTTTTCTCTAGAGAACACTTGAAGATGGAAAATGAAATGCGGGCTGCAGGCAGTGGTGACAAACGAATTTTGCTTTCGCCGAGAGGCAGCTGTGGTGGCTTGGCCATTGCCGAAACAGTGCTCCTTCCATCCTTATATGATTAAATTTCTGATTGAAGAAGTCAGTGAAGCTAACCCAAATCAGTAATCGTGAATGCTAGCCAATTTCTTATTTAGTTTAGTTTCATTCATTGCTTATTGTCCATTCAAATGTTTTTTTTAATTTTTTGGCTTTTTTGTTTCTCCAAATTTTAATTTATCCATCCAATAGCACGCATGAATCGATACGCAAGTCGTGTTGTCCTCATGGAAATAGTTTCTTATTATATGGACTGATGTCTGTCTTGAGTCAATGTTTTTATTTCCATATTATTCAAAATAGCACAAGTTGATAATTAATGATTAATGATGATAATAATAATAATGATAATGGTAATAATAATAATACAATATAATGTAATAATAACAATAATATAATAATAATATTATTATGATAATAATATCATAATAATATAATAATAATATAATAGCAATAATAATAATATAATAATAAAAATATAATAATAATACAATAACAATAATATAATAATAATGATACAATAAAATAGTTTAATAATAATAATAATATGATGAAAACAATATAATAACAATACAATATAGTAATATAATAATAATAATTACAATAGTATTATAATAATAAGAAAATAACAATAATTTCGTTGTTTAACGGGCCACTTGGAGATAGAAATATGACTCGGTTTCAGCACCACCTGGATTTGACTTCCCAAATCGAATTATTGAATTATATTGCTTGAAATAATAGTCTAAACGGCATCACTCGACATGTGCTTCTCTTTCGTATATCATTAAATTATCAATAATTTAAATGGTAATGCGCAAAAAAATAAGGCATAATATTCCATTTTATAATGAAATTTTTACTTTCCTTTAATTCATTTGTAACGGATTCGTTATCATAAATCGAAACTGAAGCGATTTCTTATCCGAGGATATATATTATGGATGGCGTTGGCATGAAAATCGATTCGAGCTTATTGCCTTCTCTTATTTTCTGCAGTTTATTATTTCTTTACTGAGAATGGCATTCTGCAAACGTGTGGCTTTCGTTCCATTCCGGACGAAGGTGCTTCTCGGATATTGTTCGTATTTTCTTCTATAAAATTCGTTCGAATTCGTTTGTTCTTCCTCTCCTCTAAATCAATTATTTTTTTGCAGTCTATGGTGTAGATTTATGTTGAAATTGGCCTTCAGTTCGGAAATAATTCCATTTCATTTATTATTCATCGAATCTCAATTGTACTTCGTAAATCCAATATATAATGAATGAATGGGATTCATAATCCATGCAAAAATGATTGATAAATGATTTTCTAAGATTTCGCGGAAATTCTCATTTTTGCATTGCCGAAAGCAAATATTTGTTTAGCGATTGATATTTTGGGCATTAAGGAGTTAATTTTGGCGAAAAAATAAAAATGATTAGCATTTTTGGCCAATCTCGCTTCGCAAACTAATTCGTATGATAAGACATTTTTGCGTGAAAATTCGCATTGTTTGAGGAATAGGAAGATAGGTGGCACGGCTTATCAAGACAATTCAGAAAAGTAGATGGGTGGGGGGGGGGGGGGGGGAGGGGAGCAAAAATAATTAACTGGAATTGTCGATAATTTAGTGGGCGAAAAATTTTTTTATGATCTGCTGGCTATTTTTTTATTGTTTGGCTGTAGTTTGGCTTTATTAGCGATAAAATTTGCTAATATTGCTGTCGATTAATGCATTAAATATTTTCACCTTTCGTTCCATTAAAATTAAATTTAAATTAAATTTTAATTCTAAATTCGAAAAAAGAAAATCAAAAAAAATTACTGATTACGAGTAATTATAGTCAAATTCAATTTTGCATTTATTTTTTCGGTGAAAAATTTTTCATTTTAAAAAAAAAGAAAAATTTTTCAATTTAAAATGAATGGAATTCCGATAATAATACTTAATGGTCGATCATTTTCCATAATTTTTCTTAGTTGCCATATTCAATTTTCTTAATCGATGCATATGTTAATCAACTTACAAATTATCTTATAAACTAATCTCAGTTTATTAAAAATTTTTTGAGTTATTTTTAATATTTTAATGTTATTTCTAATATATTTGTCGGCTGTCTCGTCCGCTTTTTTTCAAAGATTTTCCTTTTCCAGGATTGCTTAAGATTTTTATGAACTGAATAATTCTTTCTCATCCGCGTTCATTATTTTTCTTTTTCCTATAACTATTCACTATTTCTCGTTTTGGCTTCACTGATGTCGATGATAAGTGCAAATTTTTCGTAGAATCATTTGAGGACTTTTTCTTCATCGTTCATGAGCGCTCATCATTTCTGCTTGACTTGTCCTGCTCGACAAATTTCTGGTTGTGCTCGACTGGCCGTCTTGTTTTACCAGACAAATTTTGCCAAAGTCAGTTATTTAACGACAAGAAGTACAGGTGGATCACTGGTACCATTCGAAAAATGCAATAGGTCGTAATAGGAAAACAAATTTTTTATACAACCTGGCTGCTTTGACAATTGCCCTTCTTAATTTTTAAATATTTTGCGAAACGTTTATAAATTATAAAAATATTAATATTATATTAATATTATAAATATTAATTTCAACTATGTTATTTTATACTTATTATTTTGATTTCATATGAAAAAAGATAAATGGCTTTCGGATTCCATAGCAGCGGAAATCGATAAGAGAAAAGTAATTTCAAGGACAACACCGTTGCTTACTTATACACCTAATTAGCACTATTTTTGGAATATCTAAAACAAAGCAATTCGAAATATTTAATGTCGAACGAAGACAATACGATCGAGTATGTATTGCTTAGCATCCCAAGCATAGTGGTACTATCACTCATAAATTTGACAATAAATTTCAAGTTTAAGCAAAAGAACCAGCAAAAGATGGCAGGAAAAAATTATAAGCAAATATTTACTTGATGGTAGAAGTACAGGTAAATCGACAATTTCACAGGAGTGTATCATAAATAATTTATAATAACTGATAATTATTTCTGGCAGATAATCGTAGGTTTAGTTAATCATTGATAATTAAAATTGACAAATTTTTCGATTAATCATCATTGATTATTATTTTAATCATCAATTAAATATTTTAATAAAATTGGCAAAAATTCTGCTAAAATTTTGCAATATTTGACTTATTAACAAGCATATCTTCATGTTTGACATTCTGGAATTTCTGAGTTCCGCTGTTTATCCATAATATTCGTCATGTTCACAATATTTTTGTCACTCTTGAGTAGTTGTAATGATAAGATAGTCAAGTGGGCAGCAATTTGGATCACTTCGTTGGGATACGAACGCTCTTGCCTCCAGCAGGAATAAACCTTTCAATAAAAATTTCCGGTACTACTAGTGATCCAAATGCGCTCTTTCGTCGCCAAATGATTCTATAACAAGAATCATATTAATAGTAAGTAAAGTGGGACTGGCCAATATTGATGAGCGCTTACCACTTACTTACTTATGTGTAATCCAGGCAAATGGAAATTTTTTCGATAGTTGGATTAATGTTCTAAAAAAATGCTTCAAGAGAGAATTTTTCATGTTTTCTTATTCTTATTCGCATTTGGTATTTAAAATATGTGTAGATTTATTTTCAAAATCCAGAATTTTACTATAGTAAAATTTAAGGTGAACGAATGGTTTGATTCGCCTGTTGATGATGGCTAGTCTTGGCGAACTTATCCAGAGGAATAACTCAGATCCTCGTGAACGCCTGGAACTAGGTCAGCACATACTTTCTCAATTACAAATATCGAAATTGCCATCTGATTCGACTCTTCTTAATGATTTTTGTGATCTTGTCGTTCAGTGGCTCTCTGGCTCCAACTTCAAGGTAATCATATCACAATCTTATTTTATAAAATTATTGATGATTCTTATTATATGATATATGTGCTTTAAGAAAATTTCTGGATGAGAGATAGAAATAAAAGATAAAGATGATAAGAAAACATGTTTTTGTGAAAAAACCCCTTCAATGGCATCGCTTGGAGGCTAATCGTTTTAAATAAAACTTATATGGATTAGATCCCCATTATATAATACAGGTTGAGCGGCGAAACTACCAGTTTGCCAATTTCAAATTCTAATAGAAATAAATTTTATTATTTGTTTTTCTAATCAAAATTTACAATTAAATTATTTAATTATAATTAACCGATTTTATTCGCATAGCTTTAAATTTCTAAAAAAAAAAATTTTCCAGTAAGTCGATTTTCTTCGGAAACTCCCGTTGATTTTTCACTTCCGTTTTCCAAAGTTTAGGCCTATTTTAAATATATTTCAGTAGAAAATAATGGTAATTTTGATTTTAGGTGGCGCTTCTCGCTGTCGAAATAATTGACGTGGCAATTGAAGTATCGGGTGATGTTCTTGCTCCATATTTGATTGAGCGAATTTCATCGTTAATTGAACGACTTGGTGATTCTAAACAGAGCGTTCGTGATGCAACCATTCAGCTGATTGCAGCCTTAGCAAATACGCCACACTGTAGTCCTCAGGTGCAGTATTTTTGTTCATCTCTTTATCATTGCGGTGTATTTTTGATAAAACAATCAAAAAGATATGAGAAAATTGCTTAAATCACTATTCAAAAGATGCGAATTCTTTGAAATTTTTCAAAATAATTGTAGTTGTAATAATAATTACTCTCATTGCCTTTTGTTGTAAGAATTAAATATTAATATTCTTATTAAATTTTTTATTCAATGTCGATTGCATCGAAATTTACAAAAGGAAAAAAAGGTGCCAAAAACGATAATTAAGGATAATTTGGTTTTTTTCCTCGATTCGAGTCCTTAATGCAAAACCATTTTTAGCAATTATCGATAACTTATAGTTTCATCAGTAAACGCATAAGTGATAAGTGATAAGATAAGCATAATTTGCCACTCTCGACTTGATCAATGGTTTAGTGGTTTATTGAAAGAATATAAGCATTTCATTTGCCTTTCTCGGAAATTCTCCTTTCAGTTTTGAAGCAAAAAAATGAAAATAAAAATTGAAAATTCTGCCTAAGAAAAATGGCTCTTTCTGACTGAATTCGTCAGTAGCCAATGAAATCAGCCAAACAAAAAATATTGCACGGTTGTTAAATAAAGAAGAAAAAGCTTAAGGATTTTTTATTTTATAATTTATTAGATATTTTTCCAAGCGATTTTTCCACATTATGCTGTATTTACTAATTTCGGTCGAATTGAATGTTTAGTACCTCTAATGAAAATAAATTTAAATTCGGTTCAAATTTGTTCTGCTGATCTATTTATTAGTATTTTTGTAGGTCATACTTGACAAAGTAACACCAGGTCTAACTCATCGGCAATGGCTGGTTCGGATCGGCGTTATGCATGTTATTTGTTGCATGTTACAACAAAAATTGTTAGTTTTTCTGATTTCTCACCACTACGTTGTAATATTTGTTAAAAAGCTTAATGCTTTCTTTTACTTATAGTTATTAAATAATAAATGTTTCTCTCTCGAAGATCCATTATTCGTTCAATAAAAAATTTTTTTGAGTTTCTCGAGAAAATTGTTTGAATAAAAATAATTCGAAACTGAATAGTACTATTAAAGAAATATAGGTGATTATAATATAATAAAATCTTCATTTTCAATATACAATTGTTTCCATTCTCTTAGGCGACATAAATCATTCGAAATTACATTTCTTGAAAATGGCCCAGCAAGGCCAACTTTATTCTATTAATCATTCTCGACCTTTAAAATGTTACATTCTCAATTATAGGAAAGTATTTGTAGAGAAAAATTCCAGAAAAGAATATTTTCCCTTATTTTTTTAGTTGCCATTAAGTTTTTTTGAATTTAAAATCGATTCGCTTGTACAAATGTTGAAATTAGAAATAGGAAAGAAAACATTGTAAAACATTTATTCGATAGAATAAATATTTGGATAAAAAACTAGCTTTTTTGTCGTAAAAGAATGGTGCATAGATTATCATTTATCATTTCAAGCGTCATAGTTCGGTTTTTATCATTTTGCTGGAGATTAATATTTAGATTATCAATTTAAACTTTATGGTTAATGTAAATTTATAGAAGTTTTTTAAACCATTAAATTTATTTGTTTACTTATTTGTTTAAATTTAAATTTTCTAAAAAGTTAATACATTAATTTTTTAATTTTTTGATTTTTTTCTTCATTAATTACATAATATTATTATCATTATTGTTATTATTATTCTTACTATTATTATTATTAATATTAATTAAATATTGTAATATTTCAATATATTAGATAAAGCCAATGGATTCATGAGATTCATTTTCATTACAGTTTATTTCGTTTTCGAATTTTTCAGTTTTGGGTGATTTATTCTCACTTATCTCAAAGTATCCCAGTAGAATTACATATTTTCGCCACTATTGATAAATCGCTTTTAATCAGAGTATCTGACAAATGAGTGAAAGGCTGAAGTAAGAGAGTGGAGATATGTTAATGGAGAATGTTGTGGAATTCATTGTTTTTAATTTTTTCGTAAATTACTATATTTTCTGGAAGTATATAATGAAATATAATGAAATCTGCGCTTTTAATCCATTAAAAAAAATTACATTAAAATAAAATTATTTTACGAATAATTAAAAAATTTAAAAGAATTTTTAGTATATATAAATTTAAACGAAAGGATTATCGTTCAGACTATCGTCTCGAACGTTAAGGATTGCCCTCCCCTCCTCCCTATCACTCCGGTTGAAGAGTACCACTGTCATTAAAAATCCTTGTAATGTTAGCGACAGAACACCTGACAGAAATATCCCATTATCACATTAACAGCAGAAATATCGAAAATGATAATGAAATGATAAAATGACATAGAGAAGAACATTTTTTAAGGTTAAAACAACCACATTCACCGATTTATTTTGGATTTTTTTTTTAAATATAAATGATTTATTTTATTAATTATTGGTGTTTTTTAGATGTACTAAGATTAATTAAATGATCGTAAAGTTATGTCGAAAACAATAAATCCGAGTTTAAAAACTCTTCAAGTGCAACATCCAATGTAATGTCATTCAACGTTTCGGCAAAAAATTTCGTATCGCATTTGTCGATACGCAGTTATTTTTCAGTATTCTTTCTGCTTATCCCTACATTTTTTCATAAGTTATCTTTCCAGCCACAGCAAATATTTCTTCTAAAAGCATTCATTATTTTTCGTTTGCTGCATTATAGATTGCAAGGATGAGGTACCATAGAAAATCCACCTGGAAATAGGAGATGTATAGGTGAATGACTCGGATTTCATTTTTAGTGACTGTTTCATTCTTGTTCAGAGGGAGACATTTGAGCTATTCGACTGATCCTTCTGGCATTGGGCCTATTAGCTTTTATTTTCTAGCTTTTCTGCATGTTCTGCACATTAGGTTTATTCAGTGGTGCTTAACTTGGCACATCATGTCTATGATAAGTATTTCCCGATGGTACTGGCGATCTGTTTGTATTGCTATCGCCAAGTAACCAAGCAACTAAGACAAAATTTACTGGCTAAACTAAATTGCATCCTTGGTCGTTCCCTCTAATCGTTATAAGGTGTCGTGTCATTTTTATCTCATCTATTTCTATTTCTCGACAATTATTTCTATTAACTATTATTATTTCTCGACAAAATTCTTTGATACAATTTGATAATTTGATAACTTTATTTATTGTTGATTTTGGATAAGTTAAGGACGCCGCTTGATTTCTTCGTCATCGTTTTCATAATAAAATGGCAGTTACGTTCCGAGATTAACTAAAAGATTTTATAATTGCCATTCTTCCATATTTCTATATTTTCGAGAAAATAAATTTGGAAATTAGGTCTCTTTTATAAACTATTTTCACGAATAAATTAACGAATTTATGTGAAAATGAGAAATTTTTGAAAAAATTTTACCAAAATTTATCGAATTTATTTTATTAGATGCAATAAGAAATACATAAGATTGCAATGGAAAGAATGCCATAAGAGAATGGTGTTTTGTTTACTTTGCAGGGAAGTTTGCATTGAAAAAAAAGAAATGTGTGTAGATTGGTTTATCAACGGAACAATATCATTGCAAATCTGTAGCAGTGATAAGCAAATCACTAGCTGATGAATTAAATCTTTCAGCGGTACCATCGCACCAGGTATGCAGGAAATTTGAGGAATCTGAAAAATGGCAAAGTTTTTTAATTAGAAGCGAACCGAAGACTTTGATAACATCAAATATTTTGTTTGAATGTAGCAAAGCAAATGATTTCATGTTAATTTAATTTCGTAAGTCAATTCGAGGTTTTGACTACGGAATTCTAAGGAATGAATATTTCATGCGCATGATTTTTCGTGGTACCTTTTTCGTGGCAGTACACACGACTTTAACCTGATTGCTTTTGTGATCAATCGTTAAAAAAATATTGGATATCACATTAAATATTTGAAATATTTGATATATTATTTTGGGACTATGTTGATAAGAATAAATTTGGTAAAGAAAAATAGATTGGCATAGGTTAGGTTAACTGCTCTGGCTATACGATTAGAAATTTCTGCTAGGGAGTCATTTGGCGATAGAAATCTAGGTGGAACGCGAATAATATCCGAATTTCCTAACGACAAGTTTACTTTCACTGTGTTAGAATTAGACCTTCTATGCTCGATATGAATTGCAAAAACCATTCAACCCGAATTTTCTCCTGGTTAGGAATGGAACTAAGAAAAGAAATTAGAAATGAACTAGCTGATGATTAGCAAACTATTTTCAACCAACCACTTTGGAAAAATTGTGAACTGAAAATCATATCGCCATGAAACGGTATCGAAATAAATTACCTATAAATATATATAAATGAATCGAATCGTTAATATTTCATTTCATTTTCCGTGATCACTGTTTTTAAGAAAATTCGATGTGGAATTAGCTATTTTCATGACTTTAAATTCATTGTTTTATCTGTTTCCTTGCTTATTTCATGGATTTTTACTGCAAACCCTCCTTAGCTGAGCGAAGTGTGCACTTCAAAAAAAGCCAAAATTTTCATTTTGAGCAAATTTTCGCATTTTGGTTGTGGTGTATTAACTGTGAACTTCACTTGTCCAATCGCTTAACCAATGCGGGAGCAAAAAAAAAAATAACAATGTGTTCCTCAGTGTTGGTGAAGTTTATTTTTGTTATTTAGAGTAATATTTGTGGGAATAGCTGATGGGCTATTAATTTCGATTAATTTTTATCACCTTAATTTGTGATTTCTTCACCTTAAGGCATTTTAAATTATAATTGGCCTTTTAGCTATTTTTATTATTTCTACCATTTCTGCGATATTATTTGCTTTGCTATAGGCGATTTTTTGGCCAAATAAAGTGTTATAGTTGCATTGGGCCATAACAGTTATTATGGTGCGATGATGATTATGAAAGGAGTTTTTTACTAATACTACAGATGTATAATAGAATAATTTTAAATTAAACTAATATTTGATCATATATTGAGAAAATGAGGAATTTCTCAATTTTTTATGCGAAATAAAATTTTCTGACCGATTTATTCGAAAATATACGTTGTATTCGATTTTGAGTCCGAGTGCTCCCTTAATTATCTTAGAAAATGTAGCATTAAACTCCATTTGCATGCGTAATTCGATAGAGATAGGTCAATATATTTTTAAGAAAATCGTTGAAATTTTGTTCATCCAATCGTTAGTTATTTTGTATTTTCATATACGAATAATTCAATAGTTCAAATCTATTTGCAGGGAACGAAAAAAAACTTAAATAATCCATTTAAGAAACCTTTTTTCCTCCATTTCTGATAAGAATCACACTTCTGGCTATGGGGATGAAAAATCTTTCATCAGAGGTACACTTGGAAGAAGAAGGGTAAGTGAGGATCTCCAGTGCTATATAGATGCGGACTTTAGTTTTTATGGTGCTCTCGCGACGCTCCATAAAGATTTTGTCAACCGGAAGAAAGTATTTCTAGCTGCAGTCATCCGGATTGTAATTTCGTCTTTCACCTGGTCATTTGGTATTAGGATGAATCCAAGGTATTTAAAATGGTATTTCCTCAACCGGCAATGAATTTTAAAAAAAAAAAGCATTTATTCAGTTTTTACAGGACGAAAACACTTTCGTTTTATTTATATTGATCCTGATTCCGCTGCAGTTGTTGACACATTTTTTAGTATTATTTGCATTTCGCCAGCAAAAAAAGGACTACATCATCAGTATTTCTGATCTGTGATATGATTTCTGATAATAATCACACTTCTGGCTATTACGATGCTCTGGACTAATTCGGACATCCTCTTGAGTGCCGACAAGCAGTGCCCATTATCCAGTCTATCGCATAGTTGAATAGTGCAGGGGAAAGGACGCAGCCCTAACGGACACCTGTTCTTATTTCGAAGGATTCTGTCAGCTCCCCATATACATAGACCTGCGCCGATATACGCTGATAAAATGCCTTTATGAGTCGAATGAGTCTTCTCTGGAATACCGTCGCGTCCCAGCAAAGCGCTGTTTTATCAATTGAATCGAAGGCACCAGCAAAGTCGATGAAAAAATACATAACGGTGGGTTGTAGATATCTGAAGCGATGTTCCAATACTTCTATAATATAGTATATTATATACTGATAAATAAAACTTAACCATGCATTTGTAGTTCATTATATTATTAGGCATTAATAAAAATAGAAATAAAGCAGTGATTATAATTAAAATTAGTTATTAAAAGAGTTAAACAAATAATAAGATAAATAAAAATGGAAAAAAAAGAAAAATATGTAAGAAGGATAATTAACAGTGATAAATTAACCGAAATAATGGGCCAATTTTCAAATTAATAAGACATATTGATGGATTGGAGTTATATTAAAGATTTAGATGAATATTATAAAATCTATTTTTTTAAGGGGGAAGCTGAGAGGGCAAAAACAACATCACACTAGGTAAATTGACTGTTTCATTTTTTTTTAATCCATTTTAATTCGTTGTCTCTGGTTGTATTTTCAGGATAACTCATAATATTCTGCATACTGTTTATAGCCATATAAAATTTTTAAAGTAAAAATCGACTTTTGCTTGATTCTTCTAAACGTTAGAGAAGATCAACCAATCCTAAGCCTAAGGCTAAATTTCAGAGAATCAATGTTATATTAATTTTGGTTTCGATTTAAGTAAGGGAAGTCAGATTCAAAAAAAGAAATATAAGAAATATATTACATTTACTTTTAAGTAATTCAAATTTATAATGTGGACGATTGTAATTTTTATAAGAATATTAATGAGGGTTCGATTTATTTCAAAAAATTACGTGAATTTGGTCTCAAATTTTAGGAATAATTTCTTAACGCAAATTTTATAATAATAAATTTAAATTTAAATAATAAATTTAAATAAACATATTAAATAATTTTATTTAAAATAAATATTGAATAATTTGGTTAAATTTAATTAAAAAAGTTTGTAAACTTTTTATAAATTTGTAAATCAAAACAAATTTCTCGTCGACGATGTAAATGTTAATTTTACAAAGAGTTTTCTCATTAATTATTTTAATTAATTATTTTGTCAGTTGTATCATTAAAAAAAAAAAAAAGAACTAAGCGATCAGTTTTATTCGAAATTACATTAATTCATCGCTGTTAATTTGACTTTTACAAAATTTGAAAATTTAGTAAACAACAAATCGAACTGCAAATCCATCGTTTAATTCCGACATTGTGTAAGTTAATGGCCGATCCGAACAGCGACGTACGTGAAGCTGCAGCCAGCACACTCGTAAATATCTTTTGCCAACTCGGCGAAAATATCGCTGTCGATGTCCACAAACGTCGCCTTATACCCGAGCCTAAGTTCGTTCTTTTCCCACTATAATTTTTTATAATTTGAAATTTTATTGATAACCGTTTAACTAGCTTTCTAGTTATTTTTATTTATTAAGGCAGCTAATCACTGCTATCTTCTTCCGGTCATAGTTCGAAAATACGGAGAAATAATCCGGCAGCCCACTCATCGCTTTTGATTTCGCTAACTCTACTGGTTCTACTAAGAGGAGATTTCTTAACCGTGTATTCAGGCACCATAGCACGCGTAGGTACCATATTCAGCACCATTCGTATTTCCGGTTCCATTAGGGTTATCCGAATCGCACCTACAGTAGACCAAACCCATTTAATGAGAACTCTCAGCATGCCAATCGGCTATTCTTTTTAAAAGTTTCTTTTCTTTTCACAGCGAGAACTTAGAAAAATATTAGCTGAAAATCGCAATACATTTGTATCATACTTTTCATCTTCACATTTTTTTTTTTTGCTTTCGCCAATTATTCATTGGAAATAAATCAAAAGATAACGAAAAAAATAATTTTTCTGGCTTTTTTTTCATATTTCTTTTTGGTGGAACACAAATATTTTTATATTTTTAAAAAAATATTTTTGAAATATTTTTCCCATTATTTTTCATTTTCTACAAATAAATTTTCTATTAAATTTTAAAAAGAAATAATTATTATTTTTTAGAATATTTATTGCAACCATTTTTATGTCCAAATATTGGTGAAATTTTATGCCAAAAAAATGGCAAAATCGAAATTAAAATTTTTTTTAGATTAAATTTTTTAGAAATTATGAATATTTATTTATTTATTGACTTATTTATAATGTTTCTATAGTTCTTAGAGCCGTGTTGGAAAATATTTAGCATCGTCGCTTGCTATTCATTTCTTTGAATCGATTTGGAAGACCTTGACTTTCCGACTTCACTTTTTTTATATCAAGTTTCCTCCTTCTTAAGTTTGGTTAGTTCCATTTCCTTCTGGGATGAATTTTCAGTTCCTCAGAGAATTTTACATTAAAGAATTTTAAATTCGTCAGAGGAATGCAAGAAGAGATCCCAATTCCAGCCAGTTTTATAATTCTAATGGTTTCTTTGCTAGTTTTTTTTTCTCTATGAATTCTACCTAAAAAAAAAAAAAATCTATGGGTATTCGGTATTTCTTAATTGCGCATTGGTGAATGACATTTTATGGTACGAGTAGAGATTAATTTTTCAGGATGGTTGGCCATTTGTCATTCGTAGTCTTCGTAAATGTTTTTAACATGTCGATACTTGTTGTTGGAATTTCTTAACGCTGCTTGTGCTTTCATAAAAAATGCCTTAACTAGGCAAATCGAATCGGCCAGCTTCCTAACAAAGAATGCATGAAGAATGAATGCGATTAATTCCTTCTCTGTCTCATGGTTTGAGCCTCCTTCCTCTGTTTGCTCATCATTTTTACGCTAACGTTACAAGTTGCATTAACTTCACATACGCATCTATTAACTATTGGCTACTATTAATTAATATTTATTGGAGTGGCCAAAGACCTTTCGGCAAACTTATATTTATTTATAACCAATATTTATTTTAGTCAGTCATATCAGATGATTGCTATTATTTATTTCGAAAAGCAGATTGGTTTGATTCATTGCAAATGAATTTTTATTTGCCAAATTTTTTATTTCTAAATTTATTTTACGCCTATTTTGCTATTTTCAAATTAAATTTCCTCATTTTTCCTCGAAAATAATTACATAAAGAATGATTAACTTTACTAGGAATCATTTCATTCATTCTCACTTTTATTTCCTTTCAAATTTAATCAAATTTCTTTTATTCCAATTTAATTTTCTCATATCATTTAACCATTAAAATTTTTTTTAAAAATCAATTTATTAAATTAATATTAAATTAATATTTTATTAATTTTTAAATTAATACACTAAATTTTAAATTTAAACTTATTAAAATTTATTAAAATTATAATTATATTAATTATAATTTATTAAAATTTTAATTAAATTTAAAATTTAATATTTATTTATATATCAAAATTTTAAATTTAATATATATGAATTATGAATTAATTATATATGAATTAAAATATTGAAATTTTCATTCATTTTTCATTCTTATTTATGTCATTGTTTTCCGATTCTTCTAACTGCTTTCACCATATCTCATCTCATCTGATAATCGCAATTCTTCGTCGTCCACTGCAGGAATTGTCACATATTTCGTGCTAAGCGCTGTAATGGATGGGGTCAAAAGCGAGATGGGCTAATCAAGACCTGGACTAATACGGTCAGGAAAGGTTTTGAACGTATTGATGAACCAGCAATATATAGACTTAGACGATTGAAAAAGGAATGTTTTCTTTTACTGTCGACAATGGCGTTGGGTTGAACAGCTTAGAGATCTTATTCTTGTGGTCAATCGAACAGCCTAACCAACAATCATGAAAATTGTTTGAAGAATTTTTTCCTAAAAGTACCATTTGATAATAAACAAATACCGCATGCCCAGTTCGATTCCACTTTTACGAACTCCTTTACGATGTTTGATTTCTATTGAAATAATATATTTCTGATGAATTAACTAAACAAGATTGGAAAATAACTAGTGATTGGATTTTGGTCTAATTTTTTTGTGTTGAGATTTTTAGTGATTCTTTCTTTTCTTTTCTTCCATCTCATTTTTATCATTTATTCCGAAGCAGTTGATTTTTTTGGGATCGTATTTTCCTACTTTAAACTTTTTTATTCATTCTTTCCTTTTTGATCTATTTTTTTAATATTTTTTATTTTTCATTAGTGCCCACTAAATTCTTTTTTCATTCCCAATTGTGTCACCTTAAATTCTAAAAAATATTTTCCATCCGCTTTAATGTCATAATCCATTAAATTTATGGTGTGCAATCTACCATTTATTATTTAATGCGTTCCATATTAAAAAATTTTTTTTTACTAAACTCTCATAATTTATGCCAATTTGTTTTTATTTATACGACAAAGAAATTTGTATAAAAATTTTCGCGAAATGAGATTTATTTTAGAAATAGAAAATTCAGAGATTATCGAAATAATGAAATTTCAATTTTTCTTATCAATCTTATCAATTTATTATTGCATGTGGAAAATTATTATTTTAGAATTATAATGATTTCAACTGAATTAGGAAAAGATTTCTTCCTTCTTCTTCTAACATTTCTTACCATTATTGGTTTGGCAAACTCACTTGGCTGCAACGATACTCCAAGCTATTCGGTCCGATGCCATCGCTGACAATCATTTTTCCATCGTCTGAATCCATTTATCACTGATCCATCTGCTGGATAACGGTTGGATATTTCGAAAGCAATAAAACTATTATAGGGCCTAGAAGATGTTTTCATAGGCCAACAACGTGCAGGGATAAGCCAAAAAGTATTAAAAGTGAATAGTGCTAAAGCGAGTGACAAGCGAGTTTTGCCAAAAGTTCTCATCCTAGTAGCTAGTGAAGTTAATCAGAACGAATGTGTCGAATGCTATTAGAAGAGGAAAACAAAATTATTGCGCATGAGTCGAGAATTCACAAAGTTTTTCATGGTTCATTTCGCCTATAAAAACCCCAATTGGATTTTCGTCTAACCAAGGTCATCGAAACATTTATTACGAAAATATAAATAAATTATTACTACTATATGATTTATTTTTCATCGATAATTTTTTTCTATTAATCTTCGAGAAATGCAATTTTTTATTCGATTATTTAAATGATTATCGAATTCGATTTCATGAAATTATCTCATTAATTTCGTTTAGAATAATTATTTTATATTTTAAAAATATTTGAAAAATATTGAAAAAAAATTCGATAAAGCATAAAATTAAATGAATGCATTCCGAATGGCTTTTGCTAGCGTCTCACTTGCCAATCCATCGCCATCGCCAAATTACTCTCTGATGGAATTTATCTATTCAAAGTACCAGCGGAGCGAACCTAACCAGTAATGATGATGAGCACTATTTGTTAGAAGGTGAAAAAATGAATAGATGATTGATTTCTGTGGTTGAGCACCATAGCAAAATAATGAAAGAAATTTATCAGGAAGTTTATCAGGCGATAGACAAATGTATTTGACTTTCAAGCTGTAGAAAGTTGCTAATTCGATTTTAAGGTACCATTGACGAGTTATATTTATCGTTGAAAATTCTGATTTCTGGAACTGATAAAAATTTATTTAATTAAAATTTAAAAAATAAGTTTATCAAATCTGAAGAAAGCTGAAATTAGCCAATTGTAATTAAATTAACCAAAAATCAAGTACAAATTATTACTTATCATTTATCCATTAATTATTACTTATCATTTATCCATATTATCTATCCATTTTAAGTTTTTTTAGAATTTTGCTTTAACCATAAAAATTGGTGGAACAATATCAATTGGAATAATCAATAAGGGACTAAAGTTTGAGTTATTTTCGAAGTAATTCGCTGGGGAGAATTTGTTGTGAAGTTCGTAGAAATGCTAAAATTGCTTGGCTAAAAAGTTGATTATAAAGATAATCTTTAATTTAGAAATTTTAGGAATTTTAAGAAAATCCTTAATAATATTTTACGAAATTATCACTTAAGGAGATTGAAATTTCTGTCGCAAATTTATTATTAATTGTCTTTTCAATTGCATTTATTAGATTGGAAATATTTTTCGAATTTTTTCTTCCGATAGGCTGCAATAATCGACATTTATCGAAGCTTTAAGCGATCTTTTCTGCTTAGCGATATTTAGTAAAAAACAGTAAAAATAAAAAAATTGAACAGTAAAAAATTTACTAAAAATTTTAAATAATTCATTTATCATTAAACATTTTACGATTATTTTATTTTATTGTTGAAAATTTTCAATAGGAAAATTTAATTGATTTTTATTTAATAATATAAATAATATTTAATAAATATTTTTCAGCTACTTTTTAAAATATATTTTAATGGATGTAATAAAAATTAATTCGTGAAAATTCTCCTCAATTTTTATTTAATATTGTTTTTTATTAAAGAATTTATGAAAAATTTCGAAAAACTCATTCGACCTATTTTGCTTAATTTAGCAATTTCAAATTTGCCTATTTTTCGCTATCATTTTAATTTTTTTTCATTCAAGAAGTTAGCACTAACGTTCCTCCATTGTTCCTCACCATTTCTGGTCAATCTGGCCAAGTTCCTCATCGTTCCTCCATTGTTCCTCACCATTTCTGGTCAATATGGCCAAGTTCCTCATCGTTCCTCCATCGTTCCTCCATCGTTCCTCACCATTTCTGGTCAATCCGGCCAAGTTCCTCATCGTTCCTCCATTGTTCCTCACCATTTCTGGTCAATCTGGCCAAGTTCCTCATCGTTCCTCCATTGTTCCTCACCATTTCTGGTCAATATGGCCAAGTTCCTCATCGTTCCTCCATCGCTCCTCACCATTTCTGGTCAAGCTCGCTTCATTGGTCCTTAGTATTTCTGGCTAAGTTCGCTCTGCTGGCCCTCACATTATTATTATACTCCATCACATCTTCCTAGTGTTCAAAAAATATCATAATCGGTATTTTAAAGCCAAATGGAATTATTTTTTTTTATTCTTGAATATTTTATTTTAGATGGTCAAAAAGTGATAGCCATATGCATGCATATACCATAAAACATTACGAGAAGATTGATGGAGGATTTATAAAAATTATAGTAAAAGATTAATTAAAAAAAGAAGTTTCTATATGTTCCTGGGTTTTTGGAAATTTATTCTATAAGAAGTCCTGTTTTCCTGAGGCTTCCAGTATACATCCTCCACTAATTAGTTTACATCCTCCACTAATTAGTTGGTTAACGCTTATTTATTCTGGCAAAGCTGGTTCCGCCGAGTGTGTGCACGCTTAGAATCCCAGTGCAGGTTAGGTCAGGCAATCGAACCCAAGACCGTATCTTAGGTTTATGGTAATTTTACGCTGACCGAAGCAAATTATATTACTCGACCATCATCCCTTAACTTTATCCTCTGGTTATTGGTTTTATTTCTTCTTCTTCTAATAGCTCTCACCATTACTGGTTAGGCTCGCTCCACTGGCTACAAGGGTAAGGCGACCGGTGTGACGCCATTTTCGACAGCCATTCCCTTTTCCATCGTCTAATATACGTTCAAAATCTTTCCTGACCGTATCAGTCCAAGTCTTGATTGGCTCGCCAATTGATTTTATTTAAAAATATAAAAAATATACCACCTCTTACATGCAAAAATTAAATAACAATGAATGTCGTTAACGATCAAAAAATTTTTATAAATTTTTTCGCAATATAGAAATAAAAATTATTATTGTCATTTGAGTTCAATGGCCTTACCAAATTTTTTTTAGGTTTCAAATGCTTATGGCTCGTTACAATATGGTTCAACAAAACGGTGGTCCACAGTCGTCGATACCTTCCACTTCACAGCGTATTGCTCGACCACTTCGACGCCCACAAATTCCACAAAAGCCAGTTCTTCCCAATTATGGTATTTTTCAAGATATTTAAAATTATGTACGATTATTTTATAAAAATATAATATTATTAGCCAAATTGTTATGTATACTTTATTTTAAACTAATTTTAAACTTTCTAAATTGAAATTTTAATTAATTATAATTAATTAATATAATTGATTCAATTAACTATAGTTAATTCGCTTTTAATTCAGTGATTATCAGTGACTAATCAGTGATTTTATCGTCGCAATTAGCTATCATCTTCTTTTCTAATATTTCGCTAATGAACAAGCAAAATAGGTGAAAGGAAAATCGAGTAGTTTTAACCAAAAACGAAGCATTATGGACTTCTATCGCTTGGTAGAAGTAAATCCAAGTGATGCTAAGGACCTATCTAAACTCCTTCCTCAAGTGAGTTTTCTCTAGCGAAGGGCCTCGCCCTATCGGTCAAATTTGTAAAAACGATGTTATTGGTTTGTCGAAATGGGCAATATCGTCTCCTGTGGACGCTGTAGAGATTTTGGGAAAGGGGCAAGAAATTGCTAAGCCAGTTTTAAGTAGATCCACTTGTTCACTAAACAGATGTGCCTAAAGTTATGCGAAATTCAAAAAGTATAAATATATTAAAGCTGTGCAAAGATTGAAAATTTACAGAAGCAGTTACTTATGCTTACATTCTGGAGTTCTGAGATTTCATGAGATTTCATGGTTTTCTCTGGAAAAGAGGAGCCAAAAAACATTGTATAAGGGGTTTCTTCCCAGCTTTTATAGGTTTATCACTGAATGCTCCTAGTCATCCGCAAATATCCTCGTTTCATTCAGGCTAAATCGAAAGTTATTCGGAAATATTCAGAAATTTGATTAGAGATTTGTTGCCGAGAACCAGTTTTTTATGACCTCCATATTTAATGGAATATGAAACATGAAAGGTTACACCTCAGTGAGGTTGGGCTGGAATGGCTCAGTGAGTCGTCGCTCTTATTTCGTCGCACCGTTGCTGAAGTTCTGCTCCCTTCAGTAAATGTTTCAAAAATCCGAGCAGTGATGGTGATCAGTTCATGCTTTTATCGCCTAGTAATTCTTTGGTAAGGTATGAGTGGAAGAGCCTAAATAAGATTAGAGCCAAGAAGGGGTTGAATATAATTGAGTGCACCTTCTATATTTCATCTTGTAAATATATTTATCATGTGATAAGCAGGAATATTGTCTATTTGTCTATCGAACATGCAGTTATATGATTTTTTAACATTATCACTGATTATCATTTATGTGGTGCTGATATGATTGGGTTATCCGTCTATAATGAGAGGATGAAGAAAAAGTACCTCATCCCGACAATAAATGGAACCAGCCAAGCAAAAATAGATATATGGAAGATGAAGAAGAAGCAGTAAGTGAGCAATTATCAGATGGCCAAAGGTCTTCATCTTAAAAAATTCTTTATTGTTAAGACAATATCTTGAGCAAAATATGGCACGTTTTGCGCTTGTTTCACGCTATTTTTGGGTGAAATCGTAAAAATATAGTGCTTCTAAAGGAACCAATATTTAGAGTTTAAATTTAAAAAATTTTGGCGGGAATATGTCTGTTTCTCTGGTATCTCTTCATAACGGTTCGGAATGGTTGCGATGGCGTGAAAAATTTATTTTGGGAAGAGAAATCGATTAGGCTACTTTGTTTGTTGTTTATGTTGGGCATTTATTTCTGTAAGTAGGGAAAGGTCAATAAGGGTCACGGGAATATTTCTGCATTTTTTGTTATCCATAGGAATCGATATTTTCCCGAAATAATTCGGAATGGTTTCACGTTGGGCGAATTTCAGTTTCTTAAATTAATAGATTCGGGAAATGCACTGATTACTCAGCTAAATACAATTAATCAGTTAACAATTAATGAACATTTTGATAATTTCCTTTCTTATCTGATACGGCATATTTTCACGTTTACTCTCTCTTTCACGTTTTATCTTTTTTTCTTTGTTTTATTTTTTTTCCTATCGATTCACTGCTTCCCCGCCAAAAATTTACTGCTTCCCTCGGTACTTTTATAATTAGTAGCTTTTCTGCTAACTTTTCTTTCTCTTTACTGTTACTATTTTCCCACTGTAGCAGCGATTGTCGATTGGTATGATTGCTTTGATCGGCGTCAAAAATCAGAGGTTTGATGCGCTGACCTTGACAAGAATAAATTTGTTATTAATCCTTGCAGCATTGGCGATTTCACTGCACTTATATCGCCGAATAGTTAACCTTGCTACCAGCCACCGGAAATCAGCCAAACCAGAAATGGTGAGCGCTAACCATTTATTAACGTTTTCCTCAGTAAAACCGCATTGCGGATAAAATGGATTTATCGCATATTTAATTAAACCAATTGAAAAATTCTTTTTTGAAATATTAGAATTTTGCTATTCGTTTATTTATTGAACATATTTATAAAAATTACAAAATATTTATAAAAAGTAATTTCAATTTTTTTTATTTTCATTGATTAAATTTTTCGATTAATTTGATAATAAGTGATTTTTAAATTATTAAGAATTTTTTTCTTCATTAAATTTTTGTTAAAATTTATTTATTAAAATTCCCTTTTGGTTGAATAAAAAAAATTGAAACTTATGAAAAATTTGTTTTTTTATTCCCCACTTATTTTCGGTTACTTTTTGTTTGAATATTTTAAATAACAAATAAACTTTAATCTATTATTTTATTCTGTTTATACTTTTTATTTTTAATATATATATAAAATACATATTTTAGAAAACTTTTATAGCACTGAAAAGGCAAATAATGGTACTTGTTTACTTTTGTTACTTTTTTATACGTTTGGTATTTTTCGGATCGTTTTGCCTTCTCAAATAATTTTTCAGAAGGTTTTTAAAAATCTTTTAGCAGTTTTTTTTGTTCGAAAAATTTTATTTTGGAAAGAATTTTGGCGTTTGAGGCGTTTTTTTAAAATATAATTTGTATGATTTGTTTTGAAATCGTTGCGGTGATTGCCATAACTGACTATAAAAACTATTTGTTCTCATAATTATTATTATTATTATCTGTATACAACGTTTATTCTCAATCTAGTGTTTGTCTTGTTCTCTTTGTGGAACGAATATCCTGTAAAATTTTTCACTGAGAAAACGAACGAAAATTAATCGATTAGTGGGAAATTCGAAATTTTGGATGTTCAAATTGTATTATTTATAATAATTATAGATTTAACATAGGAAAAAATGTTCAAAAAACCGCAACCACCACCTGATGCAGGTATTTTTTATTTTTTTATTGCAAAATAAATAATTTTAGAAATTCTGTGGCCATGGCGAGAATGAGCCTTGTTATTAAAAAAAGTTCGAGTGGTGCTGGCGAATTACTCACACATTTTTTTCGCCTTATGTCCTCTTAGAATAAATTTCGATTCGTCGCAGGCGTAACCAGAATTGGTGAACGCCAATCACTTTTAATTCTTGAAATTAACTTTAAAAATCTATGATTTTAATGGAAACGTTCAGACGAGTTGTTCTTCGAGTTTTTTTTTGTTATTTCTGATATAAATTTTACCTGGCACACTTAATTTTGATGGAATTTTCGTCACTAATGAAAGATTATTTTCATCGTCAATTTTTTTTTTTAGACTTTAGATTAAATTAGTGTTTAGTTCTTCTTTGTTTGGCGATTTTTTTGGGCTCTTTTTTGCGAAATTGGATTTTTATTGAGATTATTTGACCCTTGTTTATTCGCAGCTCTGAAGCCTAAATAGTTTTATGAATTGCAAAATGAAATCGTCAAAATCGTCAAAATTAGAATTTCGCTATTCTCAACTTTTTAACACTTGGACTCAAAATTAGGACTTTCACTCAGCCTTAGGTTTACCACTTCAATATTTTTCTCCAAATCATTTTTTTATTTTTAATTCTTCACAGCAGCGTTTTTTAGAAATTATTTTATTTTAGAAAATAATTGAGATATTGAAAGAATATAAAATAAAATGAATAAATATTTTCTGAATATTTTAAATTTGTTTTTTTCAAAATTTCAAATTTAAATCGTTATTAATAGGTTCCTGGTAGAATTAAAAAACTTCCGATTTTTATAATTTATCCTATAATGAAGTTAAATTTATTTCTTCTAGTGTTTTCGAATATTTCGAATTATTTTTTTTTATGATTTTATCGTTAAGATTTTATTTATGGCATTTATCGTACTACGGGAAAATTTATTTTAGTGAATGATATTCGTTCATTGTTAAAAGGCAAAACCATTAATGAAAGGAATAATGATGTGGCGATAACATAATAGTTTTTGTTTTGTTTATTTAGTAAAGTTTGCAATAGATGAATGGAGGAGGAGGAGGGGGGGTGGTGGAGGATGGAGAGGAGGGAGAAGGAAATGCAGTGAAGAAGAAAAAGGATGTGATGTTGTCGTATTTCGTTTGAAGAAATAGTTTTAAATTAGTTAGGTGAAAATTTTTGAAAATAAGTTGAACGCCAACTCAATTATTCAATTATTTAATTATATTTAATTATTATTTAATTATTCAACACTTTTAACAGTTAATTCTATTCTTCAGAAAAAAATGGTATTTTTTATGGTATTTTTATATTCAAAGTTATGTAATGTAATTCAAAGTTATGGGTGAACTAAGAATATCGTAAAATTTACAAATAAAATTCTGAAATTCGATGAAATAAATTGTTTTCGTCTCGAGCATCAAGTGTCGAGTACTATGTCCAGATTAAGTCTATCATAAAAAAGTCGAATGATGCGGAGGATCTATCTGAATTTCTGTCTCCCAAGTAACACTGTCAAGACTATCTGTTCGTACTAGTAGCTCCAGGAACAAGCCTAACCAGAAATGAGAAATTTTAAGTATTTTAAGTATTTATTTTTATTAATCATTCGGCCGACAAATAAGGCGATCTTCGAAGCGATTTTACTAATTAGATCATTAAGGTTCCTTTCTTCGAGAAACTGAAAATTAGCTGAATTTTTTAAATAAGAATTGCTAATGAATAATTCTAGTTAAAAAAATATATTGGATAAAGGATATCTTTTTTCCATCGAGCAGTCGTTTATTGCTTGCAACAGCTGTTTTTATCCATTTTAAATAATGCTTGATGACTTTATAGACATTTTCATATTGGTTTCATTTTTTGATTAAATAAATTTCAAAAGGAATTTTTTTTATTTTTTTGCATAGTTCATTTAACTTTAACTTTATTTCTGTATATTTCGATCGCTTTTTTTGTAGTCGATCGACTGTCGAAATTATGTTGTAATATATAATGTCAGACGGCAAAAGGTACGATTGGTTCGTATATTTTCTTCCTTTTTTTTTCACATATCTATTTTTCGTCAGATTTTATCATTTTATCAATTCTTCAATATATTTTATTAAATTTATTATTATATTTATTTCTAAATCCTAATTCTTTTTTTTAATAGGAACTTTTCATATATTATAATAATAGATTTGTGGCGTCATGTTTCAAGATTACAGCGGCATTTTCGTATAGGAATTAAATATTATATTAATATTAATCCAAAATTGGTTATTAACGATTGAAATGAAGGAATTTTAAAATTTAGATTACCTTGCTTGTTCATTGAGCGGTCAAACCTGTTTGTATATGAATTCCCTCGAAATATCCATCATCATCATTGTCATTCGTTTCTTACTTAATAATATATTTCTATCGATCAGTAGATGAATGTTTATAATAGTTTAAAATTATACGATGATCTAAGTTTAGCTGATTAGCTAAGATTTGTCTCTTTCATCAATAGATATAATTTCCAGTTTGCATGATTATAAAACAGTGGGGATTTAGATTTATAGGAATCCCAAATGTTTTTTATTGAATTTTCAGCTAGTCGTATGTTAGCATCACGAAGAGGTCCAGTTAGTGAAGAGCAAGAAAATGCAAATTCATCTATTCCCGGATGGCAAAGGGCGAGTAGCGTACCGGCGCATAAGAGGCCCGTTGTCGTTTCAACAAGAAATGCTGGTAAATACTTTATTTTTTATTTTTTGGTTATTAGCCATTAACCAAAATATATTTGTTTTGGTTTATTTATTTTTCATTGATAAATTGCATATGAAGCAATAACTATCATAGCACAGCTTCCGATTGCATATCATTTCTCGCTTTTTTATACGAAAATAAAATTATTAGACTCAAATTTACAATACAATACAAAGGGATTATTTAAAAGAAGATGAACGAGTGGAGTTTCAGACTTTCTCCATTTGAAATTTCGGATTACACTGTAAATGTAAAAATAGGTTTCTTTTCATTTAACGAAAAATCTCTGCTGTAAACCCATCGATCAAGACGTAATTGCCACATTCAAGTTATATTATCTGCAGCAATGGAATCATCTTAATTAAGTTTATAAAAATGGAATCATCGTCTGTACAGATATTTTAGAAAAATAACGTTAGGAATGCGATCGAAAATCATTCTTTTCTTGCCTTACCACTAATTTGTTCACTGTCTGGAAAGATATTTTGCCCCATTTGCCAGGTGATTTTACTGATTTCGAATTGCAAGATCAAATTGCAAAGGCAGTTGTTGAAGCCAATGTGATGGTCGTAAAAAATTTCGTAAGAGAGGGTTCGAAACCCCGGATAATTTATGTGATATTGATTCACACATGAGATGATGAAAATGTTCTTGGAGTTGGCAAACATTCAACTTGTTTATGAAAATGGAAGAAAACTTTGAAGCGGTTAACACTTAATTCAAAAGATTTTTCGGTTGAAGAAATAGAAAAATTATTTCATTATTTCAGCGAATTAGTATGACCTCCGATAACTCCCACACAATCATTAGGATAGGGAAATAGAAGAAAATAGAAAAATGATTATTTAATTAATAATTTTAGGAGATGAAATTTGCTGCAAAGATTTGTGTGCTGATAAAAAGTGACTTTATATTGGAGTGCTATCGATAATAGTACTCCAATATTAAAGGATCAGTAAAGATCTTAGCCACATTTTTATTTCTATTTATCACTTATCATTTGTCGTTTTATCGCTTATGGAATGTAAATTTTTTTATAGGTTTGATCTATAATTGTTCATAGGTTGTTTTTTCGGAACTCATTTAATAAAAATTTATTAAAATTTATCAAAATTTAAATTTATTAAAATTTTAGGAAGCAATAATTCACAAAATATTGGAGTTTTATAATCAATTATTAGTGCTAAACGAGATATTGCAGTACTTATTTCATATTCAGTTAATTTTTATTTCGCTAAACATAAAAAGGTGTTAATTGTTAATTGGTATATTTAAGGTACAGCAGGCTCAGTCAACGATGAAGCTTTTCAGAAGGCGTTCTTAGAAGTACCTAAATGTGATGTAAGTATTTGATTATCAGATTTTACTAATTCTAATTGATTTCAAGGGAGTGTCTATTTAATTCGTTCCTTTACCAATTGTTACAAATAGTACAATTAAGAATTTTTATAGATTTATTCTGCCAAGCAACTCAGAGAAAAATTCGATGAAATGTGTAGAATACTTGAAAATACTGATATCGACTGGAGCAAGCGAATGAATGCAGTATTTTTTCATAGTATTAGAATATATTTTTTGTTATTCGATAATTAATAAAATAAAAAATGACAATAAAAAACAATATTGTTTGCTAGTTAATAATTTTATTTTAGCTAAAAACACTTCGTGCTATAATCATTGGAGGTGGTCTCGATTATTCAGATTTTACAGAAGAATTACGTGATTTGGAGGTAGCTTTATCAAATTCCATCAAAGATTTGCGATCTCAGGTCTGTCGAGAGGGATGCGTCACTGTCGCGTTTGTTTTATTTTTTAAATTTTCTATGAATTAGATTTATTCCTTTAATATTCTTCCAAAATTTTTACTTGCTTGTTTAATTTTTCGCTTTGAAACCATTGAAACCATTTTTTATAGTTTTTATTGCGAAAGACTCGAAACGAGGATGGTGAATCTAGTCGACAGTTTGATGCCAACTTTAATTGGACTTTTGCAGAATAGCGCAAAAGTAAATATTTCTCCATTTAATGCATTCTTTGTTTCAATGTATGGCTTAATAAATCAAAATCAGAAAAACTAATTTATGTGGTTTCTAAGCATTTGATTAAATATCTTGAATTTTCATTTTCTTATAGATGCTTTTAATGCATTATTATTTTGGTTTTCGAAAAAATTTACAAATTTTTAATAAATTATTGATAGGTTATGGCTACGAGTGGGCAAGTTGCACTTAAATATATAGTACGATATGTTCGTAGCCAAAAACTTCTGCCACATCTTCATACAGCGATGTCATCAAAATCAAAGGATATACGACGGTTTTTTTTTTATTTTATTTATAATATTAGTTTTATATTGTAGAATTTTTAATTCTTATATTTTATTGTAGGTTTGTGGCTGTACTAATAATGATGGCATTAAGTACTTGGGACAACCGTTTAATCGAAAAGAATATGGCAATTTTCATTGATTGTATAAAAGTAGGCGAATATATATATCAAATTTTTTTTTTTGTTTTTTTTTAAGTAATATTTTATCCTTTAAAACTCTCTATTAGTGGCTTTCGATTATAATATATTATATTTTAGATGAGTGTGAACGATCCAGATTCAGAAACGCGTACCATTGGCCGTGATATGTTTATGCAGCTTGATCCAGATTATAAGCAACAACTTTATAAGGTTAATTTATTCTTAATTATTGATTAAAATATTGGTTATGTTTGCTGAAAATTCCGAAGGTTTCCGAAAATTTTACATGAAATATGTTTGTTATTTTTTGCATCTTGACTATTTAAGTGTTTTTCAGACTTTAGATCCTTCAAAGCAACGTGCGCTATCTGGTTACCTGTCGCAATCTTCGTCATCACAGTCAATTATTTCCGAGAGAGATTCTTTGCCCGTATCTCATAGGAGTGCCGCTTATGCTTTACATAAAAGTAACCTTTAGTTATTTTGTATTTTTTTAAGATATTCACAGTCGATAAAATACTTTTCATTTTTATCTGATTCAGTTTAAAGAAATACAATTTTTTAGCCAGCCCATCTTATTACACTGGACGATCTACATCAGATATTGATCCTGGTGCAGCACGAAGAGCAACAAGCCGCAGCCGTGTACCACCAAAATGGGGAGTTCCACCTTTGCAACAAGTTAATGGTAGTAATTCTGGTGGGTATTTCCAAAAGAATTTAATGTTTTAGTATTTGTGGCTTCATTTAAAATTTTTAGATGGCTTTATTGAGGACCTAATCTGCTGTATCGATCGCATCCATCTTGTTAATTTTTAGCTGCACCAGTGCGAATCCCAACTAGCCAGCGTCTTGCTTCTGATTCGCGGATTATACCAACTTTACGTCGTGGCATAACTACAGCTCCGCCGGTCAATGTAACATCTACTAACAATTTTGCAAGATCGCAGCGTAAGGTTTTTGGCGTGTCTAGAATCTGGATAGTTTTTGCAATACAAAAAATTAACTTTATTCAGCTGATTCAATTTTAGCTGGAAGTCGTAGTACTTCTCCTTCTCCAAAAGTTCCATCTTCACGACTGCCACCTCGGACAATCGGATCATCTAATCGATTGGTAAACTCATCATTTTATTTGGTTAAATTTGTTTTTCTATGTCGAAGTAAATTAAATTATTAAAGTATTTATGGAAATTAAAGTTTATTTTTGAAAATTCCTTATTTAATTTTACACTTTTCATTTCTGTTATCTGCTTTTATAGCGTCATCAGACGGAAGATTTAGATGATCGTGCTTCAGTGAGCAGTGATTCTTTCAGGTTTTTTCCTATTTATTTTTGCTCATCGCCATAAAAAGCTATAATTTTCATTATTTTTATAGATTTTATATTAAATATTTATTTTGAATATTTATTTATTTTGAAATCAAGCAACCTTGAATTTTCATTTATTTATTGAAATTATGAAAAATTTTAATTTTCGGTTTGAAACTGTTGAACTAACAACAGCATTATCCTGTTGCTCTTCTTCATCGATTTCGGAGAAAAAAGACGGTCTTAAAGCACTTAGTGCGATACTCTTAAGTGAAAAACAAATCAGTTCACCTGATTTGAAAAAAATCGCTGATCGGTTGAATGTGCTTATTGGGGAAAGTTCACATAAGGTATTTCCTAGAAATTCACTTAATATATAAGAGATAAGTGATAATTAAATTTAATATGTAGCGTTTGTTAAGGACTAGATAAGGAAAAAAGCATGCCTTTTTTTGTTTGTAAATCCGAGATATTCATTTAAATTTTTAAATTTAATTTCTAGTATTTTACAATTTTTGCATTTTTTGCAAAATTTTTATAAAATTCAATTTTTGTTTATAGCTGTTACAACCATTGACTGATGTTGTTATCACATTTGTGAGATTATATCATCATGATTTGGGTGATTGGTTGAATCAGCTAATACCAAAATTGGTGACAAAATATTCGAATGATGTATTATTGAGCAATCAAGAGAAATTCTCGATGATGCTAGATGCTGTGCGGCAAAATTTCAATCCGGAAAAGCAGTTAAATGCTGTTTGTAAATTTATACAGGATCCAATACGAAACAATGTTACTTTCAAGGTAAGTAAAGTATAAATATTAGATAAAGTTGTGGAATTTTTGATTTTTTATTTACTGTTCTTTTTTTTATTCTTTTTCCTTAAAATATAATTTTATTATAAAATAAAATATTTAATAAGAAATATTAGGTAAAATATGGTTTGTTGGATTATTTGCATAAATTAATGCAAAGTATGGAAGTATGGAAATCGATGAATCAAAGTGAAGTTCGTCAAGCCATCAATAAAATATTTCAATGGGCTAATGATCCAAAAAACTCTGGATTAATGACTGTATGTTTTAAATTTTGGTTTTCGTTTTCAAACAATTACTGATTAAAATTTAAGAATTTAGAATTAAGTTATAAAATTAAGTTATATTATTATCTTCTTTCTCGTTTTCAGTTGAGTGAAAAAATTATTAGTGACATGTTTCATCTGAATGCCAGTGATTTTACATCAATGATCGCAACATATCCGAATGATTTGAAAGATCGACTGCAAGCAATTGTCCGAAAAAATAACCTTCCATCATGCAATATGAATGGCAGCTTCAAGTAAAAATTAAATTGTTTTTCTTTTTGAGCAAATATAGTTTTATTTTTATTCATTTTATTAATTATTCTTATATGCTGATAATTATTCTTATATGCAGATATATTTTTGCAGCATATCAAATGATACTCGCGCTGACATTTTAGAAACAACTGCTCAGGTATTCTTTTTTTTGTCAATGTCGAAAGTATTCATAACTAAATCTTGATCGAAAATTTCTTCAGTTCAATTCCGTTAGCGAATAATGTGCTTCAGATAAATGAATTTGTGGATCAAAGAAATGTATTGCCTTCATGTGTTTTACGATCTCATTACCAGCAAAGTACACCGCGACGTGATAGTACTGAAAGTGGTGGAATGCAGCGCGCAAATCGTGAGGATGCAAATGGCGTAAGTCATACACATATTTTTAACATACATTATTTATACACATATATTTTTTACTAGAATTTTGAAAGGATTTTAGATGAAATTTTTTATAATTTTCTTTTATTTTTCTTTTTTCTTTTATTTTCCTTCTGTTCAGAAATTCAGGAAAAATTAAATTAAAATTTTAGAATTTATCTGGCTATATCTTGGATGCGCAAGGTTTTGCTGCTGATTTAGCGCAGCAAGAAGAACTTATCACCAAGATTGGAGAAGAATTATCCTTGCATAATAAGAGGTTAGGGATAACATTTTTTGAGTTTTTTTGTTTACCAATTTTCTACTTTCTATTCATTTGCAGAAATTCTGAACGTATGAGAGCAATGGCAGTGCTATCACAAATCACGAGAGATAATTTGTTTTCTTTATGGGACAAGCATTTCAAAATGATCTTTCTTTTGCTTATTGAGACACTCAAAGATAATGATCCGGATATTCGAAGAATGGCCTTGAAGCTCTTAAAAGAAATATGGTGGTTCTATTTTTTTTTATTATTCTTCTATATTATTTTTAGATTTGAGACATGGATGAAAGCATTTTTTAAGCAGAAATATTTTTCAACTGTGTAAAGGTTTTAAAAATAGAGACATTCATGGTAAATATTTTTCAGTTATTCTCAAGCACCAAGATTCAATCACTTCGCCGAAATGGCACTAATACGGGTTCTTGATGCGTGTACAGATGAAGCAAAATTTGTAATTTCTTATATTCTTTGGAAACTTTCTGAACTTCAAAATTTTGAATTTTTTATAAGTAAATAATCTGACTTCAAAGTTTTGAGTAATCCATAAGCAAAAGTAAGAAACGAACTGGTGTATTTAGGTTGTATCAGCAGCAGAAGACTGTGGTAATGTTTTGGCGACTCATGTCTCTTCTGCAACATGCCGTCGGGTTTTACTTGCAGTTATTAAATCAGATGTTGGTGAGGCAAAAATTCTTGTGGCTATAAAAATGTTGACAAAAGTTATCGAATCATTAAGCGTTGAAGAATTGCAGTCCGTTCTCAATGAAATTGCTCCACCAATCGTTGATGTAAGAATATTTAAAAAATTATATCACTGTAATTTTTCGTAATTTAACAATGAAATGGTAAAAATTTTCTCAGCATTTTTGTAATATATCCAATATTTCGCAGACATATAACTACGAGAATAGCTCAATTAGGAAGGAAAGTGTTATTTGCCTGGTAGCGATGATATTGATCGTTGGTGAAGAATCAATGGCTCCTTATTTAGCGAAATTAAATAAAGGAAAGGTATTTATTTTATACCTATTTATTTTATACTTTATATGAAATTTGCACTTCTAACTTTTCCCAGCTTTTTTTGTGAGAGCTCACAAAAAATCCTACCATTACGGTTAGACTCATTCCACTAGCATTAAATATGCCAGAAGTCTCTTGGCATAAGTTTTTTTAAGTCTTGAGTACCATCTGGATTTTTGGATAGGCTTATTCCTGCGGGGAACAAAATCTCGTCATTGTCGCTCCACCAACCCGTTGAGTCATTTTACTCCCCTCCTTTCTCTACCTATTTTAAATTTTTTAGGTGATATTTTGGTGTCATTTTCGGTTTTTTTCAGCAAAAACTTATCGATGTCTATGTTCAACGTATGAAAAAACCAACATCATCGTTATAAGTTTGGGAAAATTTATGAATTATTAAAGCGGTAACTTCATTTTTCATTCAGGAACATCTTTGATATTTTGATATGGAATCTATGGAATCTTTTTGATAAAATTATTTCATGTGGTTATGCATGTTGTTAATTAATTATGTTGATATATTATTTAAAATTAAAAAATTGTGCATAAAAACATGGAAATATATTTTGGTAATTTTTATGAAAAATTTTGTGGATTTCGCTGTACATATGCAAATTTCTTTTATTCATATGAAGATATACTGAGTTTATTTAGGCAATTTTTCAGAAATTTATCAATTTCTAATCTATTATCGAACATAAATAGTACTGGCATTGGCTTTTTCCTTTTCATTTTTTAATTTTTTTATTTATTAAATTAACTGTTATTTTTTTGCTTTCTTTCATAAAATAAAAACGTATAGACTGCAAAGGACTTGTCTTAAAAGCCCTGAATTTGATAACGTAGTCTTAATTTACTCATTTTTCGGTTGATTTGGGCGAACCGTTGATTTGTTGAATAATATAATAATATGAATTAAATTAATTATATTTGGCATATTCCTTTCGATTACCTTTTATTTTTACAGTAATATATTCCAAGTTTCATATATTCCAAGAAAATACAGGCTTTCCGTATGGTAATAACTGATAATATAACTGGATGTAAATATGTAAAAATTTTTAAAAACTGGGTGTTCGATTTCATTTTAATATTTTACTTGAATATTACTAACGTTAAAATTGCAAAATTTAAACAGCTTCCTGATTCAATCAAAATAATTATTTTGTATCGTCATTTTTGATTCATTTTTAATATTTTCAACAGCTAACTTCCTCATATCACTGGTACTTGGTAAATTAATTTTTATTAACGGGTGTAATGCTGATCGCAAAGAAGCAAATAACTGAGGAAATATAAGTTCATATGATGCCAAAAGTTGTTTAAGTCGGTATCTGCAAGTTCAATTTAAATAATAATGCAAGAAGGTTATTTTTACCCAAACATTCTGTAATATTAATATTACTTTTAATTTTTATATTACTTTATTTAATAACCTTTCTTTCGGCTGTTCGAAACATGCGGGACAATTTTCTGCGATTACTGGTAGGCAATTATATTCAGCGAAATCACGTAACTGTTTCTCTCGAATATAGATTAATGGTCGGATTATTTTCAAATCGTCTCTTTAAACAAAAATTGGGAAAAATTAAGTTAACGTTTTTCACAGAATAAATTAAAATTAGGAATAATTACCGAGTAATATAAGTAGCTTTCATTGTACTTAAATTTCCATTATGGAAAGCAGCAATTAGAAAACTTTCAACCAGATCGTCCAAATGATGACCCATTGCCAGAACATTGTATCCATGAAGTTTTGCTGCAGCAGCAAGACGACCTATAAAATACATTATAATAGTTTAATTAGAGCACTTAATAATAATTTACACTAAACTTATTCTTGAAAATTTAAAAACTTGAAAAAATAAAATAAAATCCTTGTTTTTTAGACAATTTTAACGAAAAAAAGAACACCTCGTTTCATCCTACTGCAAAATGCACATATGCTTCGACATGTAGGTAGTCTTGCCGCGTGACCGATTATATCTGCAAATTATCGTGGCAATTTAAGATTCTCATGAGATCCCTAAGTTTAGATAAAAATTCTTAGTTCTCAAGATTAAAATTATAAATTATTATTAATTTTATATTTTTATTAATTTTATATGTATATATTTTTTAATATTACTTGTATTCATTTAAATTTTAAATTTACTTGTATTCATTATAGAACAATCACTCAAGGATCATTGAAGAATTCACCTTGCATTTCATAAAAAAATTCAATATTGAGCGATTCACAATATGAAATCAGAGGTCTAGGATTATAAGCTGAAGACTGTGGATCGATAGTAATAGCGCCCAATTTAAAATTTTTTTTCTGTCGTAGCCTAGTTCGTATCTGATATTGATGTAAAATGTGCAATAAAGATAGTGAATCTTTTCCTCCTGAGAGGCATACAAGCACGCGATCACCGTCCTGAAAATCGAAAAGAAATGTTGAAAATTATCCATCATATAATAGGTAGCAGATAATAAAAAATTACAATTATGCATAATGAATAACCCATGCAAGGATTCAATTTTACCAAAAATATACCATCCGCACAAATGAATCCGAATCTTTTTTCTGTGAGCGCCCACCACTTTTTGGTTAGGCTCGCTTTGCTGGTTTTTTAAACCATTAAATTTTGGTAGAGAGTCAATGTTAGTAGAGGTCAGCATCACCAAGATTTTTGAAAGACAATTTTATTTCTGGAAATATAATCCGAGCATAGGCGCTTTACAATGGTCCAGTGAACCATTTTGTCTTCACTGAATATTTCCAACCAAATTCATGTTTTTTCAGAATTTCAGAAATTCTTATTAAACAAAAATAAAGTTGATTTTTATGAACAAAAATCATAACCTCAATCATATCCAAATCATGAATGGCTTTTGTTGCTTTTCTATAGAGTTCAAATGGCGGTTGCACCCAAAGGGATTGATTATTAATTGCTATATTTTCACGAGGCCGAACTACTATTCTTCGATTCCAATCATCCAAGAAATCGATTCTGCTTAAATTGAATTCACCGTTATCATCCGAAATATTTTGATTTCTTATAAATGAATTACACAACGTTTCAGCCGTTTCGAAGCTTTCATTCTGAAATTTGCTTTTAAAAACCATGAAATAATATTTAATGTCGAAAAAACGTTTAAAGAAACCAATTCACGCTATATGAGTTGCAGTCTCCAAAATAAATTGAAATAAATAGGTACTATTCCAAATTTATAAGTAATAATCAACGGAAATCGACCAACCTCATTTATATTAATGAAGTTCACTTTATTTATCGACTTATCAACACTAACTATTTCATTTTTTCTTATGCCATTACCATCTGCTGATAACAAAGAATTGATCAAATGATAATTGAAACCACTGCATTCACTTTCACTAGCACTTATTATATAATCAATTGAAGGATATTTCCTCGGACTAAACGGAACTATGCAAGATTGGCGTTCATTAGATTTTTTCAGCTCACTGGCCATAACGAACCAACGTAAATTTTTTGCCAAGTCATCGAAAGCATTTTGACCATCTGGTATCTTAAAAAATGAATACACCATAATCACAAAAAAATTAAAAGATTGCAACCAAAAAATAAAAATTTTCAGTAATTGAGACGACTTCAATTTTCGTCATTTCCGCTTCTTTAGCCAGCCGATGAGCTTCTGCGAACAAATTGATTGGCACATGCTGCTGTGTTGAACCATTATAAGTATTATCACTTTTTGTAATTTTAATCCCATTTGATGTGAAATTAGCGAATCCAAGCCATTTACGAGAATGAAATACTCTTTGTCGATAATGGTGCCATTCACCACTTTCACAGTTCAATTGATACTGAAATATTAAGCCAACTTTTTTTACTTTTTTGCTTTTTTCAGTTAGTTTTTATGAATGTTTAGTTTTTGCACCATTTAAAATATTTTAGGCTTATCTGGAATTGTTTCCACTGAGTTTTTAAAATAAAATAGAGACGTAGATTATAGAATCAAATTGATGTTGAAGAAACTCGCCTGGTTCATGAATGCTGCTCCATTCTCAGCAATGAATTCAATGGCGCTAACCACAAAATCGACCTATATTATTTTACAATTATCTGGGATAATTTAACTCATCGAAAGATTGACATAGTCATTAATATTGACCATTTAGAAATTTAAAAAAAAAGTTTCCAGGTTTGAAAAGAGACAGAAGCAATGAAGATGATGAATGAAGAAAAATTTACCGTTTCATATGTCGCGTTATAGGGAAGAGAAATTCTGGTGAACCCTGGACGAAGCACCTCATTGCTAGAGTATTCACCTTTTCGTCGCAAGTGAACACGATCAAGACGAGCATCTTCCATTAAGCACTGGCGATATGAAAGCGCCAGCTAAATTATAAAAGAAAAAATAATATATCCTTATTAGAACAATCGAACCAAAAATCAAAGAAACAATGATAAAATTTACGGATTCATTAATTCCAAGAAGAAATTGAGCATATGGACCTGCACAAACGCATCCTGATCGAGACTGAATTCCAAAAAGATCATTAAGCAAGGCCGAAACATAATTATGATGGAGGAACAATGAAGAAGCATCTTTGATAAGAAAAGAAAAAATAGGCAAACGATTCGCCCAAGAAGGTACGCCAAGCAGAATTATCCGATCATTTATCGACAATCGATTAATCACATATCTATATTGAAAATGAATACAAAAACCAGCAAATATGAAAATATGGAAATCGCACAAATATATATGTTAAAAAATATAAAAATAAAGATGAATATGTCTAAAAATTCTAAAAATTTAAAAAATTAAAAAATTAAAAAAGTTTTAAGAATTTTAAAAATTTTAAAATTAAATTTCTAAAAATTAAATTCGAAATTAAATTTTATTAAATTCTATATAAACCTAGATATTTCTCGTTCACGATCAGATATAACATCATAGCCAACAGCATTTTTCAACTTGAAAGCAAGCGCTAATCTTACAGCACCAACTACATCTGTCGTACCACCTTCTTCACGATATTCGACATCTTTCAGATAACTGTGTGAAGACTGACTCACCTTCACTTGTAAAATAATGCAGAAATAATAAAAATAATAAACAAACAAATATAAATAAATAATAATAAATAAAACATTGTATAAAATAAATGGAAAGGAATTATACAATCTTTTCCCTAAACAATTTGACAAACTTACAAAAAACACCGTTCCACCTCCAGCACGTCTTGGCCGATCGTTTGCAATAATCTTTTTTTTAACTACCAGCACGCCTAAAATATATTAAACCTAACAAATATATTAAACCTAACAAATCAAAAGTGATGAAGAAAAATAAAATAAAAATTTTTGGAAACTTGATTCAATTACTTGTAATTTATCGTTAAGAGGCTATAGTATTAAGAATTATTTATTTTCTTTTATAGAAAGATTAATATGAATTAATTCACCAGGAGTCTGCACTCCACCAATAAATTTATGTCCAGAAAAATAGATCGCATCTTTGCGAGCTTTCCCATTCATAACAATTTCGATATAAGGGGCTCCAGAAGCGTAATCCCAAAACGATAAACAACCATACCTAAAGAATTTAATAGTCTATGACCTCAATATCATAACGAGCACACATAGTAGCCAAATATATTCTCTGGATTCTAATTTCTAACCGCATTAAAAGCCAGCGGAATTAGTCTGAATAGTGAGTATAATACCAAGATTGAGACTAATAAACACTTACTTTTTTACTTAATGCCCGTCAGTGCAAAAATAAAATTTTCAGCGAAGTTTCATCAAACTTTAATCAAACCTTTTTAAACATTCAGTAACTTCTTCGATATTAATGATTATTCCAGTTATATTTGAAACAGCAGTAAAACATCCAATTACCAGAACGTTTTTATCCTTCGTTTCATGAATTTTCTTCAAAAAATTTTCAAGCTCAACGATATCAATTTGACCATTTTTTGATTCGCCAACAATATGTATTTCACTTGCAATTTCTCTCCATGGCAATAAATTAGAATGATGCTCATGAATACCAGTAATTATAATTGGAGCTGTCTGTAAGTCCAAAAGATGTCTTAGAAGTTCAATAGCTGCAGTCGTCCCATTACCAACGAAAAGAACAGCATCATGCTCACTTGCATATGTCGCATTTCGAATCACATCTCTTCAAATATAAAATTCGTCGATTAACATTAAATATTAAATCGAATAATAATATCAAATATCAAATAAGAATTCAATTCACCTTGCTTCATGCAGAAAAAGAGTGGTTTGTTCAGACGTTGTCGTTACTGATGAATGCGTATTGCCATATAACGGTAAAACTTCGTGTGAAATATATTTTTCAATAGATGCCAATGATCTTGCCGATGCCGCATAATCACAATAATAAACTGTAATTTTTGTTTTTTTTCAATTTATTTATTTTTCAGATAATTTCAGGTAATGTGATTGAATATTTCAACTGAATAAAGAAAAAATGCGTTCTAATATTCTAATATTTCTGATTTTGCCGCTCTACTAACACGACGATAATCTTTTGCCGAATAGTAGTAATAGGGAAAATAGAAATCAACAAATATTTTTTTTTGAATTTACTAAGAATGCAAAAAAAAGCTGCATAAAACAAAGATAAACCTTTTCTTTTGCCAAATGGTGTATTAATAATTGCGTTATTCCCAATTTCATCATCGCTTATCCATTTTAATAATTCTTCCTTATTTTCGTTGAATATTTCATTTCTGCTCGCATCAATTACTGGAATTTTTTCGCCAAACTGTCGATCCATACATAACTAAAATCAATTTCAATTTAATTAATTTTCAATTTAATTAATTAAATTTAATTTAATTAATTCGATTTTCACATGCGAAAAAAATTTAGGAAAAAAAATTTATTTCAAAATCAATTTCGGCTGAAAAAAAGTGGTAAAATAAATTTTTAAGAATTACAAAATTACAAAAATTAGGAAATAAAAATGAACAAAAAAATAGAAAGAGGTGTAAACTGTAAATATGTAAATCAATAAAGATTCAATTAATGATTATATTATGATTAATTATTAATAATTATAGTTTAGTTAGTGAAAACCATTTCGGGTTAGGTTCCCTCTACTGGTTTGCGGAATCAAATTTTGCCAGAGAGATTCACTTGGCAATATCATCGCCAACAAAATTTCACGTAGCCCATAACAACAATTATAATATTATATAAAAAGTAATATAATTATTATTCGAATCCTGCATACGTACCACGTTTTGTCGGGTGGAAATACCGCTATGCGGCGAAAGCGAAAGGAGGAAAAGTGGCTCATTGGGCCGATGCTGAGATTCAAAATCCGGCATGAATAAAACTCCAAAAAACTCCTAGTGGTACCGACGACCCACTTGTATTCTACCGTCAGAAAGCATCAAAATTTGCTAGATCTGATAAGCCAGTGAAGAGAGCGCAATCAACAGTGATGAGCGAAAAAATAACTGATGAAATAATAAATACAATTTATCAGCTAAGGTTCTAACTGAAAACAGACCTTATTTAGACCAATTTTATCGCGAAATCTACTGTAATAAAAATTAGCATGGTTTATAACAGACAATTGTTGAATGCCTCGGTATTGATGCTCTCATTTTTGAGCAACGATGCTGAGCTCGAACTCCTCCCGGCACCGCTATTTTCCGTATGCATGAGTGGTGCTGGCTTCTCATGTGTTCCTTGGGACAACTTGCTTGGTCCGCAAGCCAGAGGAGCGAGCCAAGCCAGAAATTGTGAGAGCTTTTCAAAAAGATCAAAAGTTGTCGATTTTATTTACTATTATATTTTTGTTTATTATAATATATTTGCTTTAAATTTATAGTAAAAATGCCAAAAAAAAGTGAAAACAATTTCAAAAAAATAATTTCCAGAATCTTTTTCAAAAATTTATTAAATCATAAATTTTCATATTTATAATGGACTTCGTCCGACAAATCATAATTATCGGCACATATCGGACAATGACAAATTTGTTGGCCCCGGCCTGTGACATAATAGGCAGCCCAGTCTGTTAATGAGATTATGTCCGAATTCGAGTATTTCTTTCTGTATATTCTAAACTGAACACTTTTTTGGTATGCGATAGGTTGTACACTTTCAGCGCATTCCTTCTCCCCTCCTGCTTTACCGTACTGCATAGAATTTGCCATGTTGCCATGCATTGATGGGAGATAAAAGGAATGTGATGAGTTTATGATAAAATTCCACAACTACTTGTGAGGTTAAACTGGTTGTAGGTCCAAGACGATGTTAATTATGGGCTGTGGCAAACACCTATAGTAGGCTTGTGAAGGTGAAAAGTTTTGGCTCTTATCAAAAGGCATGAGGAAAGGCGATTTCGGATTTCGGACCATTTTTTCCCCTATGCGATATTCCCTAACACACGCACACACACACATACATATCATATTAAAAGAGCAAATTAGTTTATAGTTGAAGAAAGGCATCGATGAAAAAGAATTTTTGGTTCTTGGAATTGCAATATAACCAGTTGATTTTTGATGAAATTTAGAAATATTAGTGCACTGATAAAGGACTTTACAAAGGACCGTTGAGTGCTGATATCATTCCAAATAAACTTGTTTCCTGTAATTGCCATTTAAAATAAAACTGAGGTGATTCTGGTGACATATCTATACTTCTCTCTCAGAATGGTCCTCTGGTGAAAGGATTTTTAGTGTGACAGAGTGAAGCAAACCAGAATTGATGAGTGCTGGCAGAAGAAGAAGAAATGATGGATGATTAGAAACTCCTATTTCTTAGATTAATGGAAATAATAAACAGAATAACATTAATTAACCTATTTTATTGACTAAAAATAATTTCAACGTTGAAATATTTGTTAATTGACGATTTAAAAAATGATTTTTCTATGGGCATGGATTATGAAATTCGCGCTAATTAATCCAGTAAATCCAGTAAAAGAATTTAGACTATTAAAAAGCTGTTCACGATGGAAATTAGAGATAATCTTTGCGATGCACATCGGAAAACTGATAAAGTGATAAGATATTGTATTTTAATCCTATCCTTATGATTGCATTCAATCTTCGTAATAAGCTAATCAATGCAATCACCAAAGAGCTAATAGTAAATGAACCTAATGTGTACCTTAAATACTCTATAACCGATTTCGATTGGTTTTTAGCTGATTCTCTGCAGACATCATTTATAGTCCCTAAGGATCCATATAGAATTCATTTAAATTCGAGCTAACATCGCGATTTTGCAAATTTTTCTACAAATAAAGTCAAATTTCGATTCGCTAAAAACTATTCTATGCGGTGCAAAAGAATTTTGCACTTAGCCAATTTTCACCTTGGAATAAAATCTAAAAAATTTTCATAATTATTGACATTAAATTAATCAAATTAAGCACCGCAAACCCTATTAAAGACATTCAATGTTTGAAATTTCTCATAAAATGTGACAAATTTTTGGCTTTTATCAAAGGAGGTGAGATTTCGCGTTTTGTGATGGCAAACAGAATAGTTTATTCAGCTTCTTCATAAATTTATAAATTATATATGCTTTTATCGAAATTATAAACTTTTAAAATTTTAGATTATATCGCAGTCTATCATTTTATTCGAATAATAATCTGCGACTTAATTTAGTATTTCTACGGTTCTCTTTCTTCTCTCATCATTACTGGCTTAGACTATCTTCACTGGTTTCATTGGAAGGCTACAAGGCCAAGGCGTTTCTAAAAGATGGAAACTAAGTCCATAATCCATGAATCCGATGCAACGCTCACGACTAAATTTGCCAAATTTATGAATAAATTCTGGCCGAATTCAATAATCTTTATTAATGTTGCCATTATATGGCAACTTACATATAATACGAAAATTATATGAGCATCTGTTTGATATGTTGCATAGATTATCCATGCAAACCATATAAATATTTTGCATCTGCGTATTCCCTAATAGAGTTATCCTTGTTTATTATTTCCATTAATTTAAGAAATAGGGGTTTCTAATCATTCATCATTTCTTCTTCTTCTGCCAGCACTCATCAATTCTGGTTTGCTTCACTCTGTCACACTAAAAATCCTTTCACCAGAGGACAGAGAGAGAAGTAGAGATATGTCATCAAAATCACCTCAATTTTATTTTTAATGATAATTACAGGAAACAAGTTTATTTGGAATGATATCAGCACTCAACGGTCCTTTGTAAAGTTCTTTATCAGTGCACTAATATTTCTAAATTTCATCTAAAAAACATGCATAAAATTGAAAAACGACTTGAAAATTTAGCAGTTTTTTTTGTACATCATGCAACACATTCATTCAAACTGCACATGCATTGCAACACATCAACACATCAATCATTAACCGCAAGCAAATTGCTGTCAACGCTGGGTTTTTGAACTGGGCGGAGTGGGCAATAAATTAACCCTTGCATTCAAACGAAATGAGATTCGTAAATGAATAAGACAATTGTTCGTTGGGCTTAGCCAATGACCCTCAGTCACAAGGTCATCCTCATTCTCAATTTTTTTCCGTTTATATGTTAATTTATATATTTATCTCTATTTTATTTAACGCTGGAAAATTTTATCAGTGGCCATTTATCAGCCATTTTATCAGCCTTTTGCAATATTCCTGAATAACGAGACAAAAAAGGAACATGCATAATTATTGCACTTGATATTTTATTATATTTAATAATATTGCTAATTGTTTCCGATTCCACTTTCGTTTGTTAGGCATTCGTTAAAATCAATTAATATTGCCTAATATTTCATAGGTCTAGCGGTTCAAAGATCAAAGCAGTATGGTCGAGCACCGCGTGATGAAAACCTGACAGATGCATCTCAAATGATTCTCTGGCAAAAAATTTCTAACCGTACTTCTAACCAATGGTGATCGCTAGCCAATTACCTATTTGCTTATATCTGTAAATTTTATTAGATGAAAATCTTGAAAGAAGAAGAAAACAATTTTCCTTATTACCGTTTTTCACCAATTTTGTTTGGCCATCAAGAATTTCGATGAAAAAATCGTAAAATAAAATTGAATGAACGCACTAATTATGTCACTTTCTTCGGCCAAATCTTCTAGTAGCGTTTTCTAGTTTGAGGTGCTCTTTCGATTATCAATGGGAAATTCGGTCTTTGCACTAGGGGGCTTGGGGATATATAAATAAATCACCATACTTCGTTTATAAAGATATCGAATCTGTGGTGGAATAACCTTAATCGAAGATACGTCCGACCATCCGACCAAATGCGATTCCTCAGTTTTGATATCGACCATCATCGTTCAATTAGTTTATTTCCAAAATATGGTGAAAATTTTCATTTTTCTCCCTCCTTTCTTTATCAATCAAATTTTTCTTTCTTTCCTTTAAATATTTTTATTATCTTAAAAACCATAGTTTTTAATTTAAATTTTTTTTTCATGAAATATTAGAAGAATCTTTTGCGCTTGAGAAATTTCTTCGAGATTTAATTATTTCTTTCTACTATGGAATTTAATATGATTTGCTAAATTCAACACTATTAGCCAGAAAATCACTGGTTTAATATCATTAAATTAGAGAGAGCTTTCATCGCTAGGAAATCTGTAAAATGATCAGTCACATTCATATCTTATAAAGCGATTTGGTTACAAAAGTTGAAATATTACAGAAGTACCAACCAGTTCATGAAATCCGTGGTAACATCTTTCAGCCAATTAATTGTTGCAATATATTAGTACTAGTAATATAATATTATAATAATATAATATAATATACTAGTTTATTCTAATAATATAATATTTATACACTAGTTTATTAGTTGTTCTATCTTATTAATTTACTGATTCTCTTTTTAATTTTTTAGCGCATTATTTCTGGTACGGATAGGTCCACTGGCAATCAAAATGAGACCTCTTTCACTAGAGAATTTATTGGAGAGAAAAGTAAGTATAGGCGGATCTGGGAAGCCTTTTTTTAATCACTTAGCCTAAATCATTCTGCTCCTTTTTCTTGCTTAATTAAATTCAATTAATTTAATTCAATTATTTGCAACATCTATAACACAGACAATTATTACAAGTCGAGGTAAAATTTTTAATCGGATATAACAGCAACAATAGCTGCATTAATGCTCATTGTAAGTGGCCAAAATTGCCTAGTAAAAATCGGTATCAATGAGGGACACATTACGCAAGAATAGGCGAAATTATAGAAGGAATAATGCAGGTGGTAGACGGTTCGCTGTGGGAGATACCTATGAAATTGCAATAACCCTTTCAGCCTGTCTAAATCGAATTTCTTTTGTTTTTTTACGCATCTTTCTGATGAGGTCACGGCGGGATGCTAAGATTCGATTATGATAAGAGTGATAAAATCGCGAAACCCGTTGGTCTAAAGAAATATTTCATTTCTATTGCATATTATCGCTAATTTATTAAAGCACCTTTGAACACATCACTGTTGGAGATTTACTTATATAATTTCCTATATCTCTTAATCTTCCAAAATTCCTGTAAAAATAAAACAATTATGAGATCTCGAGAAAATCTTTTCATAAAAATCGCATTCAAAACCGAATATTTCATCTGACCTGTGATTATACCAAATATCCTATCTGATCTTTATTTTGGCAATAATATTTTTAGTTACTCTTAAGTTAAATTTTTTAAAATTCCAGAAATAGGCCTTTTAAAAGGCCTTAATGAAGTTCTCATTTTTTTTCAAAAAGTAATATGACCAGCTTCGACTCCCATCTGTGCTTCGATTCTTAATTAGTGTAATTATAAGGTAGTTAATCGAAAGCATTTCATTAAAGGTCAAGCGAGCATAAAATATTCTTTTTATGTTCTCTGCTTGAAACAAATGGTGAAATGCGAATGGTTCTTTAATACGTCGTCTAAGCTAAGATTATCTATAACTTTTATTCAATTTAAACATTTGCTATGAAATATTTCTCAATAATTTCTTTAAAGTAATATATAAAACAATATTAAAATTACAGTTAGTGTTATCAGTTAGTGATAATCTTTGAGAGTTAATTAGGAATAATTATTAAACTAACTAAATGAACCACTTAGCAACCACTTCAAAAATTTAAAGTACTATAGTTAGCAACCATTCTTTATATAATAAGAAAGGATTACATTGAATAAGGTTAAAAAATAGTTTTTTTTTCTAAAACAGTTCACTATTTCTGGAAAAAGCTCATTGTTCTGGCTTTTGCCAGGAAATCATATGGTGCAATTAGTACCATCGGAATTCTGGAAAAATATTTATAGAAGCCCCGCCAGAATAGAACTCCACCACTGGTACTTCAAGGGCGAAGAACAATTTATTAAACCCTTTGCTTTAAATGTCCTAGTTAATAGGAATACCATTAATATATTCCAATATTTTAATACTAGTTATATTAATAATTATAATTATTATGTTCGGCCGAATGGTATGACATATATTTCCGATTGAGGTATCATGGATTAAATTCCTGTTCCTGAAGTAAACCTATCATCAAAAGTGTTAACTTTCCTTCCCTTCAGTAACCTTTCTGATGAAAGATTCACAACTTAGTGGGCATTAGGAACAGCCAAACCAAAAATTATGTTTGATGAAAAAATTATTTAACCGCTGGTAACCTACTTCCTTAATACTATCGATCGTTTTTTTATGAAATTTTCAAAATGTTCTCATTTTCTCGATTGTGTTGTCATGGAAGAAGAATTTTTTAAAGTATGTATTAAACTGTAACTAGATTTTTCTTCTTTCATTCTCGTAAACCCAAATTATTTTATGTTTTATCACCTTGTTTATTAGGGAAATTTTAATTCCTCAAAACTAGAATATTCAAATTTAAATTTTTCTATAATCGATACTTTTCCTTTCTAAAATGGTTAAATAAGCGATAGGACTCAATTTTCTTGTTAGGCTTGTTGGCCCTCCGCTAGCTGTTAAAAATTTTTTATCAGAGAATCAATTGGCAATAGAGTGCAGATGAGTCGTCAGCATCTCTCGGATTTTCAATGATAGGTTTATTTCTGCTAGGATCGCGGAATCGAGGCTCTGTTCGAGGCAATCGTACCATTCGAAAACCTATAATTTCTTTAACATTGAACAAAAATCCCATTTTTGCATGCTTCTTTTTTTTTTATAATTGTAATTTTATAATTTATAATTTATTTAGGACAAAGAAGTAATAAAAATATTTTTTTCCACTTTAACTGAAGTTTCATTTTTCCTTCTTTTTCTAAGAGTCCTCACCCTCACTGGTTAAACTCGTTGCGCTGGCTTGTCTAAATATACCAGGGAGTCCTTCTGCGATAAAACTACTAATGAGTCGCCAGCATCGCCTGGATTTTTGGACAGGCTGACTTCTGGGAATAGAACCTTAGTATCGCTCCGAATTGAGCAAACCATTCTACCATTAACCATTTAACCATTCTACCGTTGAAGCTTCATTATGATCATTGTTTCTGAAAATTCTAAATTTATAACCTATGATCTGATCTGATAAAAATTCTTTAGAACGTATTCATTTGATAAATAAGTTGGTTGAAATAAACAAATTATGAGAATTTGTGATTATGTAGGTTACTCAAATGATTGATTAGCTGAATAAATCGTCATTTTAATAAAAATAAATAATCGTTGCCAAGATTTCCATCGTTCACCAATTGATTAATAATTAATAGAGAAATTCAAAGATTAAAGGTATCTTTTTGGTGCGAAATGCTTCATGGAATTTATAGGATAATATCTGAAAATGCTCTTCTTGGAACTTTATCATTAAAATTTTTCTTTACTTCCTTAGTTCCAAATGAGAGTGAAATGTGGCCGAGTGAAGAGAACATTGTTAAAGCATTATGGTAGGACCTCTAGCAGAAGTAAACCTGTTATTAAAAAATTCAAAGATCCATGTGCATTTCTGTTCCCAGACTGAATCTCTAGATCGAGATCTCTTAATAGCCAGTAGAGTGAGAATAACCGTAAATATTAATAAGCCTACTAGCCAAGTTTTTCTAATTTCTTGTATAAAGGTGATTAAATTTATAAAATTTCGTTACACTATTTATTTCTGAAATTCAAAAAGGCACTGCTCGTCTTTCACACTTGTTTTATGGTTCTTTTCCATAGAAAAAAACGCCCCATTAATGATTTCAATGAATTAAAATGGAAATTGAAAGTGTTATTTGATGATTCGATTAAGTGATAAATGGTAGTGAAAATTTACCTTTTTTGTTGATAAATCAAATTTTTAATAGGAATTAAAAATAAAATAAACCAAGTAGCATGGATTTGAGTGTCACTTGAAAAAAGTGAGAGCATTAGTTAAAAATGAAACAATCGTTGGGTGGCCATGTAGCACTCACCACTGTTTATGCTCTTGGGTGAATTTTTGGCTTAAAAGTCCTATTGGAGTCTGAAATTATGGATTTTGGAAACAACTGAAAGTTCTTGGTAGTGCTTGTCGAAAGCAATCAAATCAGAAATGGTGCATGATGCATTTTTTGAATTTTTAATAAATTCTTTTCAGATAAATATGGAACGACAACTGCTAATGTGGTAAAACCGTCCTTCAGTGATTGCCAAATTAGTTGTCTTATGGCTCAATACAATTTTTCTAACTCACAATTTTTGAAGTCTTATCATTTTTAAAATCGCTTTAAATGATTTATGAAATCAGTCTTCTATATGAATGGTTGCAATGATTGCATTTATCAGTGTTATGATTTGCATAATTTTTGCTTCAAATGCAATGTGTCCTCGCGGTTGTTCGTGCACTTCTGATGAACGGCACATTGTACGTTGTGATGGCGCAAAACTAAACGAATTTCCGATTTTACTGGATCCAAGAACAAAGATATTAAGTTTGTCGAACTGCAGCCTGAAGCGTGTAGACTCCGATTTTATTGGACTCTATTCAAGTAAGCAATTAATTTCATTTAATCTGATTTTCAAAACAGTTAAGCGATCATAGCAGAAAATTGTGAAAATCTATATTATTCGGTGTGAGTGTTTGAAGACAATTCTGCTTATCTGCTTATCCATAAATGCTTAATAGTTTTTAAGCAACGAATATTTTTACTAGTCTATTTAAAATAAATAAGCATATTTTGATTATCAGTAATTCGAGTGATCAACAACAGCAAGCAATTGATCTTAAGTGGATATTCATTGGCCAATTTCCCATGATGAATAATTGTTCTCTCGTTTTATAGCCTTTTAGCTATAGCTTCTACAATATTCCCGTCCCAAAATTGTATATTTCATCGATTTTCAACTCGCTAAATGTTATTAGCTAAATGTAGAAATCTGGCACGCTCTTAATGCAATAAAAATGGAAATACCTTCTTCCATTTATATTTTTAGGGATGTATGGTTCAGTAGGTTGTTGCTCGATTGGGAGAGCCGATGCTGAGGTTCGATTCGTCGTAGGAGTAAACCTGTACAAAAAATCCGGGTGATGCTTTGCGACTCACCTGTATTTCTATCGCCAAGGCACTCCCCGGCATATTGCCCAATGCGACAAGCCAGTGGAGCGAGTTTAACTAGTAATGTTAAGGACTCTTAAAAAAAATTTCTAGTTGCATTGGCTATTCGCATGGGGCTCATTCGTCGAGAGCAATCATATCGAGGATAGAAATAGCAAGGGGTTTTCAGTGTCACAGGATTTAATTGTTAATGATAATTCACTCCTGTTAAAGGATAAGAATCGAACCTATGATAGTTCAATTTTAATCGCAAACGAGCACTCGATAGTTCTGGTTTTAATGGAATTACTTCTTAATTTTCATCCAATTCACCCTCAATGGGTGTTTATCTAAACTGGTTGATTGAGGAACCAGATTTATCACCTATCTGATAAGGCCATTCATAAAACAATTCATCGGACCATTCTCCATAGATTTCTTTTATATTTCGCGTTAATAACAAACTAATGAAAAATAATGGCGAATTGTATTTATTTCAATATTAACTGCCAATTGCAGAAGTCGTTCACATTTTTTTTTATAAATAATTAACGGAGATAATCTCATTCTTTATGCATTAAATTCAATGGGTTTTTTCTTTATTTCATAAACTTTGCATAAAAATTAAATTTTAGGTGCCAAATTTTAGGTGAAATATTTATTAGTAATTTATTATTAGTATTAAAGCATTACTCACCGCCACTACTTTTATTTGTTTAACGCATTCATATCGGTCAATTTTTGTCGTAATTAATGATGTAAAGAATCGGAAATTTTTGCCGTAATGTTCGCTGAAATAGAGTGAAATAAAGCATCGAAGAAACAATTGTTAGTGGATTGTCCACATCCCGGATGTGTAGAATTTTGTCTTTTCATTTGACCTATGGAGAATAATTTTTACAGAGCGGTCCTTTTTTAAGTTATTAGTGCACAAAATAAAGGAAATTGAGGCGGATATGACGATTGTACGCAATATTTCTTTCATTCATTTGCGTTCAGTTATTTTGCAATCGCAAGGCAAATATTTTATAATTGTGCTCAACATAAAAGCAAAATATTAAGAGAAGTTCTTGGCAAATAAGTTATTCCGTGGGATTGGAGAAAGAGTAAAAGTGAAATCGTTCGTCTGATATTCAATTTTTTAAAGTTGAATCGATAATAATAATAAATAATAATAATGTATGGTAATTATTGCCGTATTATTTGCCAAAGAATGTTACGGTGTTAGCCTTGCTGTTATGCCAAAAAACTATTACTAGGGCCAGTAAGCCAAAAATTATTGAGAATAACCATTTTAAATAGGATTTAAAAAAAAGAATCTGTAATCAAAATTAATTAATCGGGTTTATTTTTTTTAAAAAGCTATTTAAAAAGCTATTAAAGCTATTTAAAAGTATCTAAAATAGCTTTAATTGTTTATTTAATTTAAATTTTGATTTTTTTCTGATAAAACTCAATTTTTGTTGGAAAAAATAAAAATTATAAAAATTCTTCAGAAACTGAATAATTAAATAAATAAAAATTTTTAGATTTAGAATATCTCGATTTGTCCAACAATGAAATAGAAGCACTAAGCATCGATCTTTTTCAATTGCAAGGCAAACTTCGTATTTTAAATCTCAGTGGAAATTTACTAACTTTAATACGACGCGGTGATCTGAATGGCTTAACGAGTTTAAAGGTACAGCTCAACATTCCTCAAAATTCTATTAGTGCCATTCATTCTCAGAATTATGTGCTAGGATGATTTCCCTGTCAGCAAGAAAGACAGAACTAAAATTGACTCTGTTGACTTTGCTGACTGTTAGGATGGTGGAAGTGGAAGCGCAGATTGGTTCCATCTGGATTTCACTATCACTTTTAATAACTGATTTTTTTTCTAGCGGAGGAAAAGATCAAACCTATGATGGTTTACCTTAGATTATGCCACTCGACTATCCTCTCGCTACTTTACATGATTAACTTTCATTAAATCATTTCATGCAATATATATGTTTGGTTTTCTTTGACCTCGAAAATTAATCTTTATTTGTATATGTTAAATAAAATTAAATAAAGCAGCATTAAAATATATATCTCTTTGATTTAATTTCATGAATATCATCGTATCAAAATCAAACAAATGGCCATAAAGAATCACATAATATAATAGCATAATTAAGTGTTATGGCTTAGCTTTAATGTCTATGAGGTCTGTCCATGGGATTTCGAAAAACTTACAAATGTATAGCATGTAATACACATAAATTTTCCATATGTTTTATTCTAAGTTTGAAAAAAATTTAGTTGTGTGGTAAATATTATCTCTGAGCAGCATTCTAGTGGAACTCTAAATTTCTAGCTGTTATCAATAAAACCATTTCTCCAGAGAGTCTGGTAAAAGTGTGGCTATTTCCATCAGAAGATGGCTTGTCTTCAATCGGAGGAACACACCACCAGTTCGTCTTTATAATTCTTAACTCTTAACTACCTCGGATCACAGCTTTCCTACTATTGCAATTGCGTTCTTGAAAATTATTGACATCAGAAATTTGATAGGGTAAACTGGCGGTCTTTATGGAAATGAAATATTTTCCTCTGATTTTTTTTCGGTTTCCTTTTTTTGATGTATACAGGAAACTTTTAAAAAGAGTTGATATGTTAATTTGTGAGAAAGTTGAATAAAAGGGAATTGCGGTTAGCAAAATCGTTATGCACAATTATCCAAGGTTGAAAACATTTTTACTCGTTTACGCGAAGACCTTAAAATTGTCATAGATTGACAATTTCATAGAAATTTCTATTCTCATTTTGCTTTTATATTTATCCAAAAAAAGAGAGAAAAGAGCTTTCTTTTATCTTTTATTCTTTTCATATTTCTTTTAAATCCATTCCTTATTAATTCCTTTAAAGAAGAGCAATAATTGCCTTCCCAGAAAGCACTTCAAGAAAGGTCAAAAGGTTAATTCAGATTAGTGGTATTTACACCTCATTGACCATCCAATTGCATTGATATTTTTCGCATAGATAAAATATTTATTTATTTACAGAAGCTGGATTTATCCAATAACCAACTGTTGATTGTTGAGATGTTTGCCATGCAACATTTAAAAAACCTGGTTGAGCTGAAAATTTCTGGCAATCATCTCGAATCGCTTCAAGCTGAAACTTTTATCGGCTTATCTCGTCTTCACAGTCTTAATTTATCGTTCAATCGTTTAAAATCGGTTCATTTAATGGTCTTCAAGCATAGTCCATTTCTTGAAGTTCTTAACCTCAATAACAATCACATTCATGAAGTTAGCTACTTTAATTCAATTCGTTTTATTCAATTTTTTTTAAAAATCTTAAATAATTTACTAATTTTGCCAGTATTTCATTTTCTATGAATTTTTCTATGAATTTTCTATGAATTCTTGTTAATTATAATCCGCTGAAATTTGCATGACAAAAGCAGATATGTTAAGTTATTTTAGCAGAACTCATCAAAAAATTCATTTCTAAACTGGCCAATTTTTAACATTAATTTGTGTCACTGGTGATAACTGAAATAATTATGATAAAATTTAATGGAATAAATGATAATTAACAAATCTATTCAATCTGATGTTTTCGCTTTATTTTTTTATTGTATTATGAATTATAATTTTAATTTTAAGGTTAAATCTAACAAATTCACGAAACTTTCGTCGTTGAAGAACCTTGACCTCGGTTCAAATAAAATCGCATCGTTAGCAGATAGTTCTTTCCAAGGAATAACTTCGCTAAAATTTCTCGATCTCAGCAATAATTTCGTTTGTTTTTACTGCATTTTTCATCAAATCAATGAGTTCATACGCATTTTATTAGCGATTATTGAAATTTCTATAAATTTTTGATAATTTAATGCCAGTTATTCGACAAAAAAAGTTATTTTTTCATGAATTATATGTGATCGGAATTCGGGAAAGAAAAAAATTTTTCATATTTAATTTGCGATTGGTTTCAAGGACACTTGTAAATATCAGCTAAATGATAAATAAGATAGTGGTGGAATAGCTTAGTGGGTTGTTGGTTTCATTTTAGTGTTCTCGTATTTCTGTGATTCTTATGAATGAACCATTCGACAAATCTGAACTATAGTAGATTCATGGCTAACGCGAAATAAGTTTCAGCTTGATCGCTCGCAAATGACAGCTCTTCGTTCCTTGAATTCATTAACCGAAATTGACCTCTCGTTTAACCTTTTTACGGAGATAAGCACATCTTCATTTGAAGGTCTTTCATTACTACAAAGGCTGAAAATGACTAATGAACAATTTTTACAATCAATACATGTTAGTTTTAGTTGAATCCATAAATTTTCATGACGAAATTTACGAAATAAAGTTGATTATCGCAAATTTTTGTAAAATTTTAGATGTAAAATATTTTAAAATTATTCAATCCTAGAAGTAAGTTCTTTTTAAAATTAATCGCTTTTATCGCTAAATTATTTAGTTAAACGCATTTTCCGGATTGCCAAGATTGCGTTTACTGAATTTGTCATTTTGTGTTCAGTTGGCTGACATACACGAACACGCTTTCGAATACGTTGACCAACTTCATATATTAGATTTGAGGAATTGCAAATTACGTCAAATTCCACGTAGCCTTTTACGCTGGAACAGGTAAATTTAATTGTGATTTAAATGCACACTAATAACCAATAAAAATATGCGAATTATGAAGAAAAAAATCAACGACAATTTCAGCGACAATTTCAACGACAATTTAGACGTAATTTGTTATCGTTGTAAAAATTTTCTGTACTTAAATAATTCGGTGATTGATTAAGTTTATAAAAAATTTACTGTCTTCATCGTAATTTTTGCTTGATTTCAAGTATAAATATTTATAATCAGAAAAACGATAAATATTATTTCGGCTGAGATTAAAATCGTTTGCTTCATCTGATGACGGAGTCAAAAATCCATCAATCAATCAAAAATCCACGTTGCTGTACTTTTATATAAATGATGTTCGCCGTATTAAACGGTTGCAAGAGAATCGGAGCTGAATTCTGAGACAAATTCTCAAATTTAATGAATTTCAGCTATTATACTCTACGAATTATACAATTGCAGACTTGAATCAGTGAATTTGTCCGGAAATCCACTGAATTGTGATTGTGAGCAAAAGTCCTTCCTCACAACATTTTCGGCCCAATTCTTATGTTCATCGAAATTTTCACTAGGATCAGTTATTGATGCGGTAAATTAATATTTTTATGCTTCACTTATCGTTTTGTAATCTTATACTTCATTATATTTCAGGTTTCGTCTTGTAGAACCGACGATGAATACGCACTATTTGTATGGATTCTAGGTGCATTGATTCTTCTTCTCGTCATATCCATTGTTGTCTTTGTACACAAAAAGCATCACTCAAAAGAAAATCCATCGATACCGAGCGCATTGAAGATTTTCAGCCAAAAATTTGCATTTGATTCGATCATAAATGAAAAGAGAAATCTTCTTTACAATCCGAGAGAATATCACTTCATTGAACAAAATAATGGTTCTCCTAACATCTATGGAACTGTTGACGATGAAGGCTATTGTTATCTATCACTAGAGCAATCTGGATTATACGAACAAGCGATACGTCGCTGTCCAATTCCTCCTAATGAATCTAGTATCCCATCACTAAAATCTGATTTGATAGTTAAAACTTATGATTCGAATTTTAAGATAATCTCGCATTATCCTGTCCCAATAACAGAACTTTAGTGATTATTGATTAAAAATTCTACCGAATGTATAAATCTGCATTTATTTGTGACTGCTGTTAAATGACTTCATATATTAGAAATGGTACCATTTAGAATTTCCCGAATGTGAGACTTGGAAATGAAACAAGTATGGAATGAAATATTTTTTGAGCATCCTCGTAGCATTCAGCACCTATATAATCATGCATGCAATTTTTAAACAAAGAAATTAACCCGACCAATAAGAGAAATTCTTCGATTCAGTGGAAGTTTAAGCCAAATACAAACTGTAATTCTTTTGCTCATCTAAAACAATTCCAGTTGTTTCTACTTAAAGTTATATAATTGTTATTTTTTAATTATTTGTGCATAATTTGGAATTTTCCAAAATAAAAAAGGACAACAAAAGCATTTTTCATTTTTTGAATATCGTTCACTAAAGAAATTATAGAAAGAAAAAACTAATTTTTTTTCTCCTAGCTAGTAGCGCTAATCATTTCTGGTCAGGTTCACTGCACTGGTTAGTATGATTAGAAGCTTTTGCCAGTGAATATATAACTTGGAAGCTTGGAGATAGATGCTGAAAACCACCGATACAGATATTTTTAACAGCATCTATTTTATCGAATGCAGATGTTTGGGGAGCCTTCAGACCACTGGATCTCAATATAATATGAGCCATAATAACCGCTTGGCTGTCTTTTCCGATATGGATAAATAGGTGAAATCACTTAAAAATCAACAATATCTATCAATGTTTGAACGAATAATTTTTGATTTTCAAATCACCACTTCATAGAAATTCTATACTTTCTATACTTTCTTCGTCAAACAGGTCCCTAATAAAAAATATCTAAGGGCTGGAACGAGCCTTAACCAGAAACTGTGAGAAGGTGCTAAACATTTTATTTTTATGCATACTTAGTCATATTATGATAATTTACGATTTCTAAAAGAGACGAGTTATTTATTTATTTTTCAATATAATTATTATATATTATTTATAAAATTTATTATTTTTATTATTTGGATAATTGATTTACTTTTCGCCAAATGAAACAAAAAAGATTACTGCTGATTAATATATAAATTAATACATCTTTTCTCATTTCTTAATCGTAAAGTACGGAACCATATTATTATAAATTGTTGATTTATTCATACATAAAGTAAATAAATAAACAAATTCATGAAAAATCAGAGTATCATTTGTCTTGAGCTTCAAAAACAATGCTGGAAGTACTGACTTTGCTAATTTCAAAAAGATTTAAAATGCTAATTTTTTCTCCGCTTAAAGTTCTAATGAAAAATTGCTCCAGTTCACAGTTTCCACTATTTTGCAATTTTACCTCACCCACTGAACAGAAAAATCCAGGAAAAACGATCCAGCTTATTACCAATGTTAAAATTTAAATGTAAAATAACAAACTATTTATACAAAAACCCGCATATAAAAAAAGCATACATACAATTACGCAAATAAAAGTCTAAAATTAACTTCATCATTACTTTACCATTTTTATTGTAAATTATGGTACTTAGATTTTCGGTTGATGATTTTGGCTATAAATCGAGGATCTTTCATTTGATCGGTTGGTGTTTACATTAATATAAGGATCATCCTGTCGCATTAAGCTTGTGTAATGGTCTGTATCTTCGAAAGTAGACGAGGTTGACGCAGTAAATTCACTTGGTGAATAAAAAACTTCCTTAAATGCACACCGTTTATCATAACCCACAGTATCCGTTATCGCTGGACGATTGTGCGGCAAATCTGGTTTGTAGGATTTTTTGATGGACGACTTCATTCGTTGATAGATTTTAAAAATTGGTACAAGCAATATTGCTGTGACTGTTGTGCAAGATACAATAATTAGCAAAAATTGATGGTCTAATATAGATTTGATGATGTTATAATCATTCAAAGAACTGCTTCCGGAATTCTGAAAAAGGATAAGTCTAATCTATCACAAAATAAAAGTGGCATATCACTTATTATTCATTCATGAGCTTTACCTTTTATGTCTATTGAAGTTGAATCCTATTAGATGTGTTATTTCCCATGAATTTTTGTTTTATTTCAAAAATAGCGATTTACTAAAAGTTTTTAAGTACGGCCAAAGCTGCTGCAGAACAGTTATATAAAAAATTTCTGAGCAAAGCAGATCAGGAAATTGGGAAAAACTTCAGCGCAAAATTTGTTCTATTCTGACCAGCATTTTTGGCACATATTTCCATCTAATTCAAGGAGAAAGTCGGAATATTGAAGCAATTTTAATTATTAATTAATTAATGTTGAAAATTATTAAACTAATTTTCTAAATACCATTAAGTCGATCCTCCAACCGAGAACATCTTCTGGTGTCGAACATTTCATATCACTGATAGACAATTTCTTTAATAAATTTGGCAAGAATGATAATAAATTGGAATCGCAATGTAGTGGATTCCCAGCAAGTTTTAGGGATGAAAGCCTAAAATATATAAATATCGATAAAAACTTTTTTCTTCGGCAAATATAATTCTGATGTCTGACATATTAATCTATATCAAATATTAAATATCAAATATTACTATATCAAATTAATCTATAGTGATGCATCTCACATCCCAATCTATTGCTTTTAAGTCGCTTCATTCTATATTCCTGTTGGTATTTCCGTGATAAATCATTGTAGACTGAGTATTCAAATGGCAAGAAAATATTTAACCTATTCCAATCGATCAAGGCCTCTGAAAGACTTCTAAGTGAGCAGTGGCTCAAGTCAAAATGTCGCAATTGTGACCTGATTTCGAAAGCATGCTCATCTATTTTCTGGAGTTGCTTACAATAGCTCAAATCCAGCGAATTCAACGATGACAATCCCGAAAAAGCATTTAGCTGAAGAAAAGAAAAAGTACTTGCGAAGTGAAAAGCAAAAAGGTAAAGGTACGAACTAATCGGCTCCAAAATTAAAAAATTTATGGAAAAAATATAATAAATTAATAAAATAAATTATTAAATCAATCAAATAAAAAAAAATTTTGAAAATTAAATTGGCTTTATAAAATGGTTAGCTCTTATTATTTCGCTTTAGACTAACTCCACTGGTTTGTACTGTTAGAATTTTTTGCCAGAGGACTTCTTGACAATAGAAATATAGGTGAATCGACAGTATCACATAGTAATTTTAGTAATTTTAATAATTTTATTATTAAATTTTAGTGATTTAGTAATTTTAGTGATTTTGTTAATGAATGCAAACGAATTTTTACTTATAGGAATGATTTAATCGTCTAAATTTTAAATTATTTACCTGAATTTCTTTTAAATACTGTTGATGAGATAAATTAAGGTGCTGAAGACTGGAAAGGCCTTCGAATGACGAAGTTGTCAGTGCAATTAATGAATTCCAAGAGATATCAAGCACTTCAAGACTCGACAGTTGTTGAATATTTATGTCTGAGATTTGATGAATCTGCAAACCAATTTAAATGCAAATTTCCAAATTTGAAGAATTTTTGAAATGGAATTTTTGAAAAATGAATGAATCGTCCAGGAATCAGTATCAAATTAAAAGTTTGTAGAAGGCTGAAATGAGAGGTAAAATAATTAAAAGAAGCTGAAAAAAGCCTTCAGCGAACTAATATGGATAAAAATATATCACTATTATTTGCACTGGAAATAACTCATTTCAAATCAAATTTACGATTTTTAGCCTTTTTTCTTTTCATTCTTATAGCGCATTCTGATCCTTTTTCGATGTCGCTAGCGCCACTGGCTAAGAAGATGAAACCTCTTCGTCAGTGATTTTTTAAATAGCAGGCAAAGGAATCGGACCATTGATAGTTGGTCTTCTGTCGAAACAACGCATCGACTTTCCTGCCGTCTTAATCCAAGATTACCTATCCAAAAACTCAAGAAAGTTTAGAAACTGATCGAAACTTTTTCGTTTCTCAAAATCTCTATTCCTCGACTTCATTTTTGCAGAAATGATAAGAATTTTAAAGAGATTTTTATCAAAATTATTCATTAAACAATCAAACATTTCGAGTGGGTTTAATAAATGAATTTTTTAAATTCGAATCCATTGAGATGAAATGGAAATCAAATTTTAAAAAAGGCATTTTTTCTACGATTTAAAAAAATGTGAAATTCACCATATTGTTGCTCAAATTTAGACGTTGAATAGAATTCAGCTCAATAAATGAGCTTTCGTTGATTGCTGAGATCAAATTTGACGATAAATCAAGCCATCTCAATTCAGATTGTTGTGAAAATGCAGCAAATGAAATCTAAAATTCGAGGAATTCGGGAAAAAAAATGGAAATTTAGCTCTAATTTTTATTCTATTTTAAGTAAATCTCAATATTATTATTTTTATTGCAGTCCTTTAAAATCTTTAAATATTTAAAAATAATATTTAAAATATTTTAAGAAAAAAAATATTTCTTATAAATTCCAGCTAAGAAAATATGAACGAATAATGAAGCATATGAGATGAGATTTTAAATAAAACGATTTAGAAGGTAAATGAAAAAAAATTCACCAATTTTTACGAGGACTTTATATTAATAATCCTTGGAAAAAATGAGATTTTACATGAAATTTGAATAAAATTCTAACGCGCGATATTAAATTGTGACTAGCATCGATTCCTTGAACTCTTGGGATTTCGGCCAACATTTCGAAATTGACTGCTTGAAGTCGGTTGAAGGAAATCTTTAATAGGCGAAGGTGATCGAGGCCATGAAACACTCCCTGCTCTATATAATTTAATAAATTATTTGAGAGATTGATTTCCATCAAATTTGACATCTCTTGAAATGATAGTGGCTCGAGAAGTGATAACCGATTTGATGATAAGTCGATAACCTAGAAAATTAAGTTCGAATAGTGGAACCAATTTACAAAATGAATTATTTTCTTATTCATTATTTATCCAAATATATGCATAAATATGGCAGAAAGACGGCCAAGCCATTTTAAATTCGAGTTCACTAATCGCTGTCATTATAGTTGCAATGGATGTGTTTAGGCTTACCCATTTTATTATTTAAGATTTTAAGAATGATCGAGATGAAATTAATCGAAAAAAAGAATGAACATAAATTATGAATTCATCATCGTGTCTTCGTGAATTTGCATAAGTAAGCAGATGGTCAAATAAATATGCTGCTGATCTATCACGATCTTCCATTTTTCATTAATGAGATTAGTGTTAAACTGTAGCTGAATCAATATTTGGAATATATTCGCCAGTGCATTTCTAATTTTTGACCAAAATTTTGTTGAAAAAATTACTCCCAACACAATTAATCTTCTTTTTCTTTTTAACCCATTTTCCGCTTTAGCTGGTTGTGCTAACTAATAGGATGAGATCCTTCCAATCAGAGAATTATTTTAGAACAGGCGCCTGCAAGTAGGTCTCTATATAGGCCGCTCAGGTAGCCTGCTTCCCATTAGAAGATCGCTCTTGTAAAGGGGAGGAAGGAATTGAATCCACGATGCTTACTCTCAGAACCATGCAATTAATAATTAATGAGCTAGAAGAAAAAATTTAGTGGAAAAGGAAGAAATAATGTTATTGATATCTGATAGATTACAAATTTGGAAGCAAATGCTGCAATTTTATTTTCTTTCTGAAAAAAATTTATGACGTTCAAGTGAAATTTTATCGCACAAATTAAATCTGAAATTTTTCAATTTTTTTTCAATTTCATTCATTTTATAATTGCATATAAATATAATGGAAATTAGTGCTGAACAACGGATTAAATATTATTTTCAATTAAAAAATAAATTAGGAAAAAATTAATTTTTGAAATTATTTTTGATAATTTGCACTGATAAATATTGTAATTGTTGACGAATAATAAATTTCTCAACGAAATATTTTAGTAAATTAGAAGGCTTTTTGCAAGCGTCAATTTCATTTATTCTAATACAAAGTGTCATAAAATTACTCAAAGCTTTCCTAAAGTTCTTCAACGAACTTTTACTTGTGAAAAGCAACGCTAACTATCACTAATATTTTATAAAAATATTGGAAATAGTATTTTTAAAGAATTTTATCATAAAAAATTTTTAATTTAATTATTAAGCAAATAGATTTGTGGATTTGTGAATCTCTAATGAAGATTTCCACTACTGTAGCGCTACAATTAAACTTAATTGAGTATTTGCACAAAAGGCATTATTAAAGGATCATTGAGCGGCTGATCGATGAAAAGCAAAATGTGAATATTTTGGCGATGATCAAAATATGGCTATTGCCAATAAACAATGATCAGCTCGTCTATTTTTAATAGAAAACTGACAAATATTTGACAGATGCAGAAAATATAGAAAACTGCGAATATTCATGAAGCAGGTGTCATCGAACCTTATCGATTCCTTGCACTGTTTTCGAATAATACAGAAAAGTGTTATAATTGCATCATCGGACCTACAGAGGATTTGAAAGCCTATAGAGAGAGGATGAAAGTGAAGCGGTGCAAAGAAGGCATTTTAAAAATTTCGAAACAATAGATTCTTGAAAAGGATGGAATAACCCAGATTAAATAAGTCGTTACTATGAAAGCAAGAAAAAACTCGTGACGACTGTCATTAAAAATGAAACCGAGGTGGTGCTGGCGACCCAACCTGCACTTCTATTTCTAAATGGCCCTCTGGCGAAAGAAGATGATTGTAGTCAGCGGAGCCAACCAAACCAGTTATAGTACTTTTGGAAGAAAAAATATTGATGTTAAAAGATAATGGATCCAGTCTTTTCGAAAATTTGAACTTCGGCTTCAAAAGAAATGAAATTAACAATGGATAAGCCTCAATTTATTATAATAATGAAGTAGATCATTCGTAAATACATAAATTCAACAGCTGCCATAATTTCTTGCTCTGTTTTAGAAATTTATAAAGGAATTGGTAAATGGTACTTTAAGAATCCCTAAACTAGGCTCGCTTATTGTATTATTGTTTGTATCATAGATTATAAAATTTCGCGAATTCTAATCATTTGAACAAAATTTTTGTCGCCTCTTCCAAATTCGGCATGAGGGAAGAACAATATTGATCAGCTTTGCATCAATAATCTTCCAAAGTAATGGAAGTTCCGATTGAAAACTATGTTACCTGCAAAGCATTTAATCCAGTAAACGCTCCTCGTTCGATACGAGCAATCTTATTTCCATTCAGATATAATGCGAGGAGCTTATTTTGACAGCGGAACAAGCCTGTCCTAAGAGTTTCGATTTCATTGTTAGATAAGTCCAGATATTCCAATTCTGAAATTTATTGCAAAAATACCTCTTGAATATCAAAATTATCCACTATTTTTGCATATTTTCTATGATATGGAAAAAAATTTTGAGAAATCGGTTCTCTGAAAATCTTTTCCCACACAAAATGAAATATTTTCGGCCTAGTTTCACATCACAATTACTAATTTTTTGTTTCTCCCTAATATTCTCAAATTTTTTAAATTTCCAAACCTTTGCGGTTTCTCTTTTATCTCGAAAACAAAGAAAATTTCAAAATGGAACTTGTGAAATTATTTTGGCATTTTTCTTTCTCGATAATTGATAAGTCTCAAAAAAAAGAAATAAAACTCGCTGGGATGCCATGCAGCACTAACCTGGATAGAGCTCCAACGTGTCGGCGTCTAACATGTTTATTCGACTGTTTGAAATACTTAATAATTTCGTCCTTGGATCGAGTAGCGACGGAAGATCTGTTATTTGTGATCCATTGCATTTTGTTTCTCGTTCTTCATTGTCGGTGCAAACGCATCCATTTGGACACATTGCCCAAACGTTTGGCAATATAAGCATCAAAAGAAAATTGCGTTCCATAGGTTCAAAATATAACCAAATTTAGAGCATCAGTATTTCTCATTTAAATATTTATCGATCTGAAAGTTTTTTGGGAAATGTGAAGTTCATGAAATGTTGAGCAAGAAAATAATTAATGCAATGAAAATACGAAACTAAATTCGATAGCAAAATCCTATCTTATAATTTTAAGAAATCTTCTTAAAGTCATTTTTCATCTTTCTTATTTTTATCGTTCCTACTTGAAGGAATATAGGCAAAATAAGTGGTTGTAATTCAGATCAACGCGTTGGGAGCCCAATGGAATAAATCTATTACTAGAATATTCGGAGAGTGCTGGTGGCTCCTTTCTTTCTCCCTTCTCCCTTCTTTCTTATTTCTATAGTTAAATGCCTCATTAGCTAAAATTTTCAACCTACTAAAAGCTATAAGAACGAGTCTGACCAGAAATGGCAAGCATAACAACAATTTTGTTACTTATTTTTCCCTTTATTTCTGATTCATACCGGGCTCTTTCCTTAATTTTTTTCAAAATCTTTTTCCTTCTCGTATTCATTTCCATTTGTTTAAGGTTTTTAGATTATTATCTAACAATTTTTCCATAAAATATTTTGATATATTGCTTTTTTGAAATTGAATTTGCAATGAAATATTCGTCGTGATAAGATCATTATTCAATTAAACAAATATCTAAAGGCCAACGTTTGCGACAAATGCGATAATTTTAATGAAATATGAAAAAAATGATTAGAATAAAATTAAAATATTTCCAATAATTTTAATAGATTCCATTTAATTAATTTAATTGTATTTATTATACTTTTATACTAAAAATTAATATTTAATATTTTTTATTTTTAAAATTTAATATTTTATAATTTTTTCCAATAAAACTACTAAAAGAGCTGAAAAAAAAGCAGATAGTTGGAAAAATCGTAAAAAATGGCACTGAAATTGCATAACAATAAATTCAAATAACTTCTAAATGCACCAAGGATTTTGAATGAAATTATAAGATATATAAGGCTTTGAAGTTTTGGTGCTAAAGTTGCAATTTCTAATTATTTAGACAATTCGTCTACCACATTCCTTGATTAGTGCTTCTTGAAATAAGCACCTCAAATTGTAAATATTTTTTTCCATTTCTGATTTGACTAACTCCATTTCAACCATCATAACGAGATCTTTTCGCTATTTGGTGATTTGGTGATCGAGTTAAGTGGTTCACCGCCATTTTTGCATTTTGCATTGCTTTCTCGTCAACGAGCAGAAGCCGAACCATGTCTTGGATAGCTTAAGCGTCCATACTACCGCGCTAATATAATAATAAAATCACAAGATAGAAAATTTTTTCCGTTGGAATCTGTGAATTCATTCTTTTTTATATTCATCTTTCGTACTTAATTCACTACCACTTTTGATCAATTAATTTCATTTTTCAATGACTTTTTCATTTTTTAAACTCTATTTTTTTGAAATTTTGTAAAAATTTGAATGATTGTAAATATTATGAAATATTTAAAAACTTCACTATTCATTTAAAATATAAATATAATAATATTATTAATAAGACGATTAATAAGACTTAAATGAAGTTTTTCGACGAAAATAAGCCTAAAATGACAAAACGGTGAAAAATAATTTTTATTTTGTATCTGCCACATTCTATTGAGAAAAATTAATTATTCTAAGCATTATGAGATTAACAGGTTTTTTATTTCATGAATTATAATTATAACTAAACATGTTATTAACTGCAATCTCTTTGTATTTCTATTATAATAATTATAGGCAAGTTTTAAACTCGAAAAATAGTTAATGAAGAAAGTCTATGAACGATGAGGATCGATTATCCTTATTGCTAATGATAGGTTCGCTCTTCTTCATCGAACAACTTTTGACTAGTTCCATTGGCTATTAGGTTAAGGCCGATTCGCTAGAGGTAAGTTTACTCCCGTCAAAGATATTTCTTTAAAAAACCAATGAAATCTTAGTTGAAGCAATGTATTTCTCTCGCACATCTCCCCGAGGTCAAATTGATGAAAAAATTTAAGAAAATTTGGCTCTGAATGAAACATAAATGGCTTTAAAAAGTATTTGAATTAAGTGTTTTGGCTATAATTTTAATAAATTTTTTGCGAATTTGATTGCTTTATAGATTTCAATTTAAATATTCCGTGCAGCCATCGTTTTTTTAAGTAGAAATTAACATTAAAACAAGAAAAAAGCAGTTGAAAGAGAAAAAATTAATCTGCAATAGTTAATGAAATTCTTCGCCTTAGAGCGATTTCATTATAGAAAATAATAAATCAGTAAAAATCGGCGAAAATGATATTCGTTGCCCAAAGTTTCGAAATAAAATATTGAATATATTGAAAATATTTAAATTTGGCATAGAAATTTGGATATAAAAGTTTATCAATATTAATATTATATCAATATCAATTAATATCAATATTAGATATCAATATTTTGGATATAAAAGTTGAAATTTTCATGTCGAAATTTTGAGAAAAAAATATATGGTTGAGCGGTAGGTTTGATGTTTCAACTAAGATCAAACCATCATAAATTTGCTCCTTCACTCTGCCCTTAATGAGAATAAATCTGCCACTGAAAATGAAATTGGTCGAGTTGGTGCGACGGGTCCATACTTCTATTGACTTCCTAGCGAGGAGATCTTATTCCACTTTACTATAGAAAGCCATTTGAATCAAATACTATTAAAGAAATAATTTTAAAGAATTCAACAACTCAACAACATTCAGCGAAATACTTTGGTATACAAGCGAACAGCCATGAACGATAGTCATAAGTAAGTAAGGAACTAAGTAAGAAGATAAGAAAAAAAAGGAAATTTTCAATATTTTTGAAAAATAGTGGTGAAAATATTGATCCAAACTAGTATTAAAATAGTTATTGGGTGAATATGATCATAAAATTGGACGTTAACCATAAACTTCGTTGATTATAATGAAGATAGGGCGAAGGTTTGACATTACGGGACGATTAATATCGAGATAAGCCTCTAATGAGCATGACAAAAATCCTTCGTCGAACATGGTTGTCGAGAGATGCTCAAAAACCTTTTGGGCTGCTAAAATGGAATTAGCTGAAAGAGATGCTTGAAATGCATAGATTTGGCGATGATTGTTAGCTGAGAGCTTCATAAATTCTCTAGGATAATGCGAAATTATTTCAATCTATTCTATTAATCTTCTATTCATTTTTAAGATTTCAGAATAGCTGTTAACTTACAATTTACTTTCTTACAAATTAGTAATAATTAGAAGTAAGCAGACTTATCGGATTTTTTTTTTTTCATCACTAGTTGAGCTTCTTTCTACTACAAATATAATAATAAAAAGTAATTAGGAAAAACAATGGCATTATCGAATCGCCAAACATACAAAAGGCGTCAATATGTATGACATTTGACCCCATTGTAATTCCCTCCTCTTGCTTTTCTTGGAAAAAATTGGATACACCTGTGATCCCTCCTCTTGCCTTTCTCGGGTAAAATTCGATCCATCTGTGAAGCGTAAATCGGGATTTTGTAATTTTATTTAAAATTATATAAATCAAGAACATGAAAAATTATGCTAAATTATTATAGTATTTGCACGATACGAGATCGCATTAAATTATTTCTGAATCTTAAAAATAAAAGGTCGAATTAGTAAAATTCGAATTAATAAATGAGGAAAAAAGAGAAAATGAAAAAGGATTTTTGAAGTGAAATGATTAATTTTAGCTTTGAAATCGATATCAAAACGAGTAATAAATCTCTCATTTCGAAGAAATAGAAAATGCTAAGCAGTTAAATTAGGCCATCAATTTTTGCCCAAGGGCTTCAAGACATAGTGGAGTGCGCAAATGTAATATGCGAATTCTTCAGTCGTCATATGCACCAGCATATCATCGCTAAAATCTTCGTCAGCAGCCATCGAATCAATTTTCTGTCTCAGATTTCCAAATATTCCGGAATATTTTTCAACAAAAAAGCGCCAAATGCTTTCTGGGTAAGTAAATGATCTTAGCGATTTTCATTCTGGTTAGATTCGCTTCACTGATTGCTGATACGATTAAGAAACCACTTTTACAAGGGAGTCACTCAGCGATAGAAGTATAGCCGACTTGTTAGTTCCATTTTGATTTTCTAACGAAAGCTTTGTCAGGTCAGAGACAGACATCTGAATCTTGGAGCAGTTCGTAGACGATATTCCAAGCGACAACTAATCGGCTACTCTGTTGTTAAATCGTAAAACCTAATATTATTAAATTATTAATATTATTATTAAGCCTAATGGAAATTTAAAAATTTCAGGAAAATGACGATTGAATGAAAAAAAAAAAACAAATTTAGTCACATATTGGTGTAAAATGAAGGAAAAATATTTCATCAAATGGGATTTGCTAATGCTTTTTCTTCCATTTTTTCTTTTTGATTAAAACGATGCACTTTAAAATTCAATTCAGAGTGAAACAAAAATAGCTAATATAATTATAATTACAATTACAATAGTGAAGAGAGATCGTTCATAAGAAATAATCACTTTGTGCAGTTTTCACTGATGCAGAACGAGTCTTTGGCGTGCACAACGAAGCAGTAATTAAGAACGGATTATGGATGGCCAAATCCCATAAATACTTTAGCATTTCAAACAACCTATTATGGATTTAAAAACCATGGAAAAAAGAAACATCTTAAAAAAAAATTTAAAAATTAACAAATTTGAAAAAGATGAAAATTGCAAATTATACTGGTAATAAAAAAATTACTAAAAATTTGGAAATTTCGTCAATGAGAGAATTTTCGATGCGAAGTCTTCTTGACAAGCAATTAGCTAAATACAAGCAGCCGTTTGGCTCAAATGGGAGATTTTCGCGATGGAACCATTTTGGTGATAGGAGGTCCTTAAACCGCCCAATTTTTTTTCGTCTGAGGCAGACACTGAGCTTGAAATGATAATCTATGTAATAGGCTCTTCAGCCATAATTAGCAATTATTAGAAGAATTA